CGAGCGAGTGGCGAGCAGAACAGACGTGTTATTAGTAATCTCTAAGCTTTTAAAATAAATTAACAAGTTAAATATTATTCTAAATTTTAGTACGTAAGGAACAAAATACAGTGCCCTGCTAGTGGAACGTTACGACGCTATACAAAGCAGCAAAGTGAAAGTGAGACGTACCTACCTATACTGCGCACACGGTGTCACGCGTAAGAAAACATAGATCAACATGAGTGTACTACGCTCACCGACTGGAAGTGGCGCAAGCATTGTACGTAGTGGCTCGCAGCCTAACTTAAAAAGTGAAGATATTCAAGCCGCGTCCTCTGAGATAACCAAAGTTACTTTTCGGAAGCGAAAACATTTGGACCAAGATGAAAATATTAAAGATGAACTGAGCGAAATGCGGATACAAATCTGTAAAATGATGGCACTGCTATCTTCCATTGATAATAACCAAAAAGAGTTCATTAACAAAATTTCTGGGGATTTAACTGATATTAAAACGCAGGTCAGTGGCATAAAGACTGCAATCGATATACTCACAACTGAACAAGACAACATAAAATCAGACATAACATCCATAAAAAATAAAAATACATATTTAGAGGATAAAATTGATACACTAAAATCAGTTATGGACGACATGATTACTTTGTCGCCTGCATCACAAAGAGTTACTGATATGAGCGAAATTATATCCGAAATCAATGAACGTGACATGAGAAGTAAAAACGTAATAATGTTAGGAATCCCTGAACAAACAGTTGTGAACAAAGAAGAAAGGATACTCAAAGATAAGAATGAAGTAGTAAAAATTTGTAATGAAATAGTTGCTGATTGTCCGGAACCAAACAAAATTATTCGTCTTGGGAAATACAATCCTATGAAAAATCGACCTATTAAAATAATCTTTAAAACAAAAGAGATTGTCTTAGAGTTGCTGCGTAACAAAACAAATTTAGCAAATGGGGACATTAAAATATATTCTGACCAGACACCCCTCCAACAAAAACACCTAAAAGAGCTCCAGGAACAACTAAAGCGAGAATACGAAAATGGCAACACACAACTGATAATTAAGTATGTCAAAGGTATTCCAAAAATAATAGATACAGTATCAAAAAACTAAAAGTCTTTGAAAATAACAACAACTGTCAAGCCAGAGATCACATAACTACTTATCAATTATCTGATTCATATGAAAATGTCAGGACAAGTAAAAAGTCTATTAGATTCTTTTATACAAATGCTCGAAGTATCATAAAGTCTGGCAAACTAGATGAACTAAAATGTGTGGTACAATCTTTTAATAATCCTTTAGACGTTATCATTGTGACTGAAACCTGGATAAAGTCCACCGATGAAGCTAAAGGGATACAGATCTCTGGTTACAAACATTATTATAATCATAGATGTAACACAAGAGGTGGTGGCGTTTCGATATTTATACGTAATGATCTGAAACACAACTTAATTGAGGAAAAATGCCTACACGACGACCATTACCTATGGATACACTTAAAAAACTACTCGCTAGATATTGGTGCGATATATAGAAAACCTATAGCTATCAACGCCAAAAACTTTTTAGATATTTACAGTCATCAACTTCACAACAGGAAAAGAGGAATTGTCTTTGGCGATTTTAACTTCAACTTACTGAATTCAGATCATTTAACCACCATGTACAAAGAAGTCCTTCAAGAAAACGATTACCTAATACTGAACAACATCGATGAAAAGTACTGCACGCGGGAAACACCTACTACCAAGACCATAATTGACCATGTGTGCTCGAATCTTAAAGACAACAAATTCCATTTAGCCGTCATTGATACACCTATGTCGGACCACAAACACATATACCTCGAGGTTAAAAAGTTCCAGGACGATTCTAAATCTAAGGTCAAATATGAGGCAATAAATTATAATATGATGTACAAACTTATGGCAGAAAGTAAACAGGAAACAAAAAACTGTGAATATCAAGTATTCGAAAATAAATTAAAAGCAAGTATAGCCAAGAGTAAAATTACAAAAATAAAGGTACTAAACCCGCCTAGGCAGGAATGGATAAATAGTGATATAATAAATGAAATAAAGAACAGAAACATCTTATGGAATCGATATAAAAGTAATCCTAATGATGAAACATGCAAAAGATCCTTCATAAACACAAGAAATGCCGTAACAAATAAAATACAATCAACAAAGAGTAAATATTATCAATCTGCTTTTAACAACTGCAAAAATAAGCCAAAGAAAATGTGGAAGTTAATAAATAGTCTCGCCAACAACAAAATTAAAGAAGAAGCTGTACCTACTAAACTTGTTACATCTGATAAACCTGTGACGGATAGGGAGGGGATTTGTGAGTACTTTAATGATTTCTTTTCGAACGTGGGATCAGACTTAGCTAATCAAATTCCCAAACACTATCACAACAATAATTCCATCTACATAAGCACAAATACTCCAACAACATCTTCAACACTAATTCGACTAGCATTGGCTACGAAAACTGAAGTTGCGAAAATAATACACACTTTAAATTCAAATACTGCTTCAGGGATAGACGGTATAAACACAAAATCTTTAAAATGCGTGTCAAGTATAATACTTGAAGAGCTTACCAATTGTATTAATGCAAACTTAGAGGCCGGAACTTTTCCAGACAGTCTGAAAGTTGCAAAAGTTACGCCAATATATAAATCGGGCAGTAAAGTGGAAGCAAGTAATTATCGTCCCATCTCTGTGCTCCCTGTGCTCTCTAAAGTTTTTGAGCGCATTCTCTACAATCGATTAGAACACTATTTAACTGAACTGAATTTTATTTCTGAGAAGCAATATGGCTTTAGGCCGAAATCCAACACAGTATCGGCTACAGTGGATTTGGTTACTAAATTAAAACGTAATATAGATAATAAACAAATAGGATTGGGTATTTTCGTCGACCTTAAAAAGGCTTTTGATACAATCAGTCACACCTTGTTGCTACAAAAGCTAACTAATATTGGTATTACTGGGTCCGCTATTAATATCTTTAAATCTTACCTTACAAATAGGTGTCAGGTTGTTAAAATTGGTCAGGCGCAAAGCACTCCTAGGCATGTAACGTTTGGCATACCCCAAGGATCCATCCTGGGACCCTTGCTGTTTCTTGTTTACATAAACAGTATTCATGAAATTGGTTTAAAAGGGGACATAACACTTTATGCTGACGATACAAGCTTGTTTTACTTTGGCAACTCAATCCAAGTAATAATTGCGGATGCACAAGCAGATTTGGATCGCTTGAACGATTGGTTTCTTCATAATCTCCTAACAATTAATACATCAAAAACAAATTACATGATATTTTCAGCTAAAAACAAAAAAATATTGCATCATAGGCCACTTACTATAAATAATAAAACCATTAATAAAGTAGATCAGGAGAAATATCTCGGTTTAATTTTGGACAGTCACCTAACGTGGAAACCACACCTTAATAAAACAAAATCGAAACTTATTTCCCTCATGGGAATGTTAAAAAATGTCACAAAATGTATCACGCGTCCAATACGCTATACCATCTATAACTCTTTAATTAAACCACACCTAGATTATCTAATAGAAATCTGGGGCACAGCTGCCCTAACTAACTTGGCCCAGCTACAGATCGCACAAAATAAATTAATGAAAAGGCTTTTTAACTATGATTTCCAGACACCTTCTTTAAAAATTTATAAAGACACCAAAATTATGAATTTATCACAAACTTATCACTACTATAATTGCATATTAGTGAGAAAAATACTCACGAAAACTATACACTCACAAATAAATTTTAGTAAAAAAACATTAACACAAAAAATTAAACTAAGGTCTGCCAATAACATAAACTTAATAAAACCCCGGACAAACTACGGGAGTAAAACTATTTTGTATCAGGGAGCAAAAATGTATAATATGCTACCAAAACTTATCAAAGAAGCAAAGAACATCAAAAGGTATAAATTTTTATTAAAAAATCATGTAATAAATAACATCAAATGAACTTATACTAGACTACGCTCCACAAATTAATTACACACTATGCATACCACATCTAGCTACCCTTGATCTTTGCACTCTGCGATAACAGAACAAGTTCGACAATATTTTAGTTTGCCAAAGTATTCACACTTACCCTCGAAGTTAATTATTTATTTTTTACTTGCTTTGTATTAACTACTTGGATTTGCCGCTCCATATAAATATATTGTTAATTGTATAATTATGTTCTCATGTAAGTGAATGTTATTCTTAATGAGAATAAAAGTTTCTGAAACCCGACACACTACTATACACATAGGTATGTGATGTTCAGGTGAACATCACATCAATTTTAGCCTTTAATGGTCATTGCTGGACATGGCTCCTTAGAAAGGAGGTTTTGGCCTACTATATATACTATTAAACATACCTTATATACATACATACCTTACCTCTGCATAATTATGATAGATGTATTTCTTTCAACATATCGCAATGGCCCATTTGTTTATTGTTCCTCAAAGATGACGCGTTCGTGACCCCCCAACCTCCTCAAATTGTGAAGTGTCATAACATCAGGGCTGACACGAAGTGATTGGTATCTGCGTCATTACACGAACCGCTCAGTGCCGTGCGACCAGCTTGAGATGAACACGATTTTTCTAGATATATACCTAATTAAGGGATTTTTGATGTAAATCTGTTTTTGAAATGCTCACTGGTGGATAGGGGTTACTATATTGCAGTAAAAATCTGTACCTGCTCATTATGTAAATGATGTGTTTGTATCGCGACAGCCCTAACGGAGGTTGTATAGAGCTGGTAGGACGCTCGCGGGGTGCGGAGAGTGTTGCGCGCGCAGGATTGGTGCCGCAAGTGTCGAGTCGCGGCAGAGACCGGCGCGTGGCAGTCCAGCCGCCCCCGCAGCTCGCACCGGTCCCGGCGCTGCCGGGCTCCCGCTCGGATGCCGCTGCCGGCCGCCGCCTGCGATGGTCCATGCCGGGCCGGCCGCGCGCGCGCCCTCTCGCGCGATGTTCGCCGCCACCACTGAGAGCAAACCGCGTCGTGCCGTCTCGCCGCTCGGTATACCTAAGTCTCCGTCGTTTCACTCGGGACTAGATCTTGTTGCGAACCAATCGGCTACCAAGCGCTCAGAGAGTGTATCAGACGTCGCGCGCGCTTTTCGTTTCGCGTTGTTCGCCGGCTCCGGCATGGAAGGCCAGGGCCTGCCGCAGAAGGCGCCGTCACCGCCTGACGCGCGCAGCCCGCCACCCCCCACCGCAGCCGCCGTTTCGCCCGAGCGCTCGACGCCGATACCCAATGCCGAAAAGGAAAATTCGATGGTACAATTACCACCACTCAAAGGTTCGTCGGCATTATCAACAAAAGTCACTGAAAATATTGGCTACCACTAATTCCAATTCCATTAAAAATTTAGTGTTTACGAATACTCTGTCTGACATTTATCCTCTTAGAGATTAAGTTAGATAAACGAAGATAACTGCATCCAAAAGATTGAAAATAACTTCTTTTTTTTTCTATAAACTACAACATTCTATGTAAATACTTAACGGCATGTTCTGTCGATAACTAAATGTCACCACGCACTTGTCATCCTTGAAAGCCATAATGAGGGTGAACTGCTGAAAGTAATGACAATCTTACGTACATATAGGTAAGTATAATATAGTAGAAATGGCCAAAACGCCGCAGAAATATATCGACCCATAGGCGGCCAGCGGCCGGCCCCTGTTTCTATACATGCCATGGGAAATAGATTGCGACGTCCTTGTGCTTTGCACCACACTTCCAATAAAATTACTCGAGAATCGTATAAAGCCAGTCGTGCCAAGAATAAAGGTAACTGGTTAATTGCTTTGAAACGGCCTTTTTCATATAAGTATGTAAATTTGCTAATGAGTGAAAATTAGCACATCGAGGTTGATCGCCTACTGGCTTTGTTTATATTTATCGTCATATAGTATGATCGTCGTAGCCTTCAAATTACAAAGACAGTGACTTATTAGACTAACTTTTTAAAAACAAAGTCAGTGATTTGAAATATTAGGGTACAGTTGACGACGTAATAGTATACGTGGCTTAAACCGAAAACAACCAGTTTTCCAAACTGGAGATGACAGTAGGTTCCTAAGGTTTATCGGGAGTTCCGGTTTACTCCGTCGAAAAGCTGTATTTCAGCCCTTAGATGGGCTACCGTGACGAAACATATTTTAATTATAAACAAATCTATACAATTATTGTTCTTGGACTTTCTCAGTTATTTTAACTAATTTTCTAAATATCAAATTCTAAAAATATATCGCCCATTTTATGCTTCCATGCCATTATGTGCTTCATACACTTCTTATCTAAAACAAAATTTTTAAAATTTCCAATGGTTTTTTACTGTTTGGAATACTTTTGTTTTCGTGACGGCACGTCTGGAAAGGGTGACAAATTTATTACGAAAGGAAAAGAGACTATTAGATTTCGGGCAAAAACCGTATCTTTACTTAAACTTGTGTCCTTTTGGTATTCGAATTGGGTAATAAATTTTGCCTCAGTTTACATATCCATACAAATTATGTGTATTCTTTTGTTATATGCACGTATATGTTTATACCACAAAAATATCATTTGTTTGGTAGGTCCGTAATCTTAGCACCTAAGTCCAATGAATTGTCATAAACTGTATGTATTCTTTGTTCCTTAATTTTCACCCTTAGGGGTAGTATTTTTTCTTCAAATTTAAATGGGACCAAGCGGAAAGTAGACGCTTTTAAAATAATATAGAATATAGAATTTACTAAATCGGTTCATTAATGACGGAATTTTGATTTAAATTATAGTTTTAAGAAAAAGACACGCTTTTGTACTAGCCGAACTAAAAAGTAGAAAATAATTTTCTATAAGTTCAAACAAAAAAAAAACGGTAAACATGCGTGGGTAGCATCCCACATCAGATGTTAATTGTTGTAAATAATTTATTTTACAGAATTTCCAATAAAGTTGTTTTCTTATAAAATATCTTAAAAGGAACCCACGTTGGTGACACTCCGTATTCTTAATTCGTCACATGTGGTGCTGAATAAAGAATGAGGAGTATTACCACCCCTATTCATCCTCTGGGTGTCGTAAGAGCCGACTAAGGGAGAAAAACTACGCAGGGCAACAGCACTGCAAAGAGAAGAAGGAATACTTAAAACAAATCATATACCACAATGTTTGACCAGCGTGGTATAGTAGACCAAAACTTCCTTTCTAAGGAGAGATATACATATGTCCAACAGTGGACTATCAAAGGCTGTTTATGATGATGACAAAGATACACACATTATACTGTTGGTACGCAGGAATATCTTAGTTTTTTATTTATATTACAGAATACGGAACTTTTTTGGTTGTAGATTTTCATCTTCAAATCATCTTAAATTTTTGCAGCTGTAAGCATTCATTCATTGTAAGCTTTTTTGCTTAAAAAATACTGAATAAATTTTAATTTTAACTAAATGTTTCACTTTTGTGGTAAGCATGTAAGGCCAAACCAGTCAGTTGCTGATACTTCAGGCTCCGTGGCGCTTCTTAGGAAAACTTAAGACACACATTATGGGACTGATATCTACGTATATCTGATTATTACAAATAGTAGATGACAGAAATTGAAACTCACCTAACTTTCTCATAGAACTCATAACCTTATATTTCAAATAAATTTCTTTCTTTTGTCAACAGATGCACCGCCCGCTGAACGCGAGCAACTCTTCGTACAGAAACTGCGACAATGTTGTCTGTTATTTGACTTTGCGGACGAGCCACTGTCCGATCTCAAATGGAAGGAGGTCAAGCGAGCCGCCTTACTGGAGATGGTGGAGTACGTCACGTCACAACGGGGCGTTATCACAGAGCCCATATACCCGGAAGCTGTCAGTATGGTGAGTAATCTGCCATTTAACCATAGCAGATCTATTCTTCGGCGCATATGGGTCGTCTCGACCGTAGTCTTCTTCCTCGGAGCCTTTTTACCAAACTAGGTTTAGGTCGGGTTTAAGTCTACTACGATACGGCTGAACTGCATTTTTTTACGCGAAGCATTTTATAATTCGATCCAATATTCTTTCATTTCTGTATCGATTCAACAAGGCAACACAAGTTTCAACACGCATTTCTTTCTGCAGTTCAGTCAAATCATGTGGCACCCATTTCTCATTTTTTTTTATCTTATTGATTTGATGATGATGATTTGATGTGAGTCAATTCAGCGTTATTCACCTATGTAGGCGGTCTTCCACGTGGTTCGTTCTTGAAGTTAAAGTTTCCATTACAAAAGCGTTTAAACAAAAAACGCACGGTGCGTTCATCAGCAGTCTCCTCTCCTAACGCAGCGTTGATATTGTCAGCCGTTTCTGCCGCATTAGCGGAACGCGGAATGTCGTACTCAAACTCAACTCAAACTCGTATTCAAAAATGACTGAATGGCTTTACATTGAAAGTCGATTGTGGCACATTAAAAAAAAGAATCTCATAGGTATCATGTGAAAAAAGTTTCACACGAAAATCTCATATCATAAAGGTTTTATGTCAATTCAAAGTATCTAACGGCAATTTCATACTTTGACCCCTATTATTAAGTTTTAATACAATATTCTCATCACGATTGTACATTGTTTTGAAATACTGTCATGCATTGATGACATTACAGTGAATAGGAAAATGCATATATTTTGAATTAATCGTTGTGTCCAGGCTCGTTAATGAACGTCATTGTCGTGGGAGAGCCATGCTTCAGCACATATGCGACCAGCTCGATCGGAATGATACCAGGGCCTCCCAGAAAACTTTTTGTAATTCTTTCGTTGCTTTACACCAAGTGAGTGAGAATACCAGAAGCCCAGCCTCTGCTAATTCTTGGGGGCACAATCAAAAGGCGGCAATGCATATTTAATAATAATAATAATTTATTGACACATAAGTTGGTAAACCTATGCTTGAGAATTCCCCTTTTTTTCTGTGTGGAAATCCCCTGGGATACCACCGGTGGTTATGTCGGACTCGAACCAACCAAAAACCGCACGCCGTCTCGGGTAACAGTTGCCGGGGAACCAGGTGTACCCTAGGAAGGAAAACCCTGAGCTTGAGAATCCCCTGAGTCCTGCGCTAGTTTAAACTGTGTTGCAGGAGACAGTGTCTTCCGCACGTAATACAAAGGACCCAATTAAATTGGGTCCTTTGTATTACGAAATGTAAATGAAATGTATTTCATATCTATGAAATTGGGCCACTTTCATAGATACAATAAAAAAATGTCATAAAAAGAGAAAAAAAGAAAAGCTTAAACAAAGATATAACTGGTTAATTTTCGTTACCCCGTTCTGTGCGCGCGCGTTCTGTGTTAGCAATAATAGTATTTTATTTAGGGCAACATGGGATAAGATAAGCTTTTAAAGCTTTGGTTTTCATTAATGATCATTTGTACAAAATGAGAGATGATCAAAAACCAACGGTGTTTGAAGACTTAGTAAAATACCTGTTTAGTTTTATAACGAAATAACATTCAGTTAATTACAATACTGGTTCAATAAAAGTCGTATCTATAAACATCATTTAAACACCAATTAACCTGCGATTCAAAAAAGATTTGTATTAATTTTATTTTAATAGCAATACCATCTTGTGATCAAATTTGTTTTTTAAAGCGACAGGTATGTAAGCGATAACTTCGATAGCGATAGTTGTGGCATTTCGATAATTGGTAGCCGCCGTTGATAAATATGAAACCTGTTCGAAAGCTGAAATAATAAAGTGTCATTAAAACAAATACTAAAATACATCTACTACAACACAATTAGGACAGGACATAACACATAGAAGCAAGAGTCGTTTCTGTAATACAATAAAATATATTACCTCTATAATAAATGTGAAAGTAAGTTTGTTTGTTCACCAATGTCAAGCAACATTATCAACGAGTAACATACTTTTTACCGCGAAAACCGACATACACGCGGGCGGAGCCGCGGGCAAAAGTTAGTATAGTGTATAAAACATAGGTACCTATTTCAAAAGTAGTTTTTCTTTGTTTGTTACGTCATCTTTGTGCCAATTGTAAACGGAAAAAATGATTTTCAAAGTCATAAACAAAATTTCTTTATTTCAAAGAATGTCTTAAAAAATCCTTTGAAATAGTGTTTTTCTTTAACTAAAAATTTAAAACCACGCAGTGTAACTGCAACAGCAGGTTGATTTTTCAAATGTAAAACAAATAATATATAAAAATAAACACCAAGTCGTTGCTAATAACTCAAACTCAAATGGCAATATGCAAATAGATAAGCCTTGTTAGAAGAAATTGCACAGAAAAACTCATATCCTCTTTTTACACGCTTTATATTAGCTTCACTTGTATGTTTGTTTGTATGTTTGTAACCGACTTTTTTGCGCGTGATTTCGACTGACTTTAAACGGTCAGAATTCGTTCAAACTTTGTAGATATATCGAGGATCGATGTAATAAATACACCAATTTAAAAATAATAATTAAAATTATAGTTTTAAGAAACTAAAAAAAAAGCGTGCTTTTTACTCTTGACAACGCTTTTTTTCAAATTTATTTTCTATTTTTTAGTTTGGTTTTCTATAGAAAACGTGTTTTTTTGTTTTTTAAAACTATAATTTTTGTATCACCAAATAGTTTAAAAATATTTAGTGGAATAATGTTGTACAACTCTGTTATCGTGCCCTTTTATGTTGATAAAATAGTCAATATAACACCGGTTTGTAAAAGATGCTGTATAACAATTTAAGAAGACGACACAGTTTATGACAGTTTTGAGGTGACCTGTGTTCTTGAAGTCATTATTCCTTTTTTATTCGCATGTTTTTTTCTCCTTTAAGAAGACTACTCCCGCACTAGGAATGTATCCTGTGTCGCGGAGGGTTGACAAATATTCATGAAACGGTCACAGAGAACACCCAGACTCAGAACAATTTGTGGATCTCACTAAGTGTTGTCCCATGTGGGGATCGAACTCACAACACTCAGCGCACACGACGAGCGGCGAGGTGACAGCTTAAACCACTACGCCATCCCTCCCCTTAATACGATTCTGTTTAATAAGTACTTACAGAGGTCTAGCGGACGCATCCATCTTCGAATCATCTCTCTCTCAAGTGACATCTCCTCTATTAAGATCCCACGTAATTAAAGTATTTTCAAATCAGTCCCAGGGAACTGACCACCAAATATTTCAGCTTTCTAATGTGAGTTTGTGTAGGTATATTATTAATGAGATTAATATTACCTCAGCATAGTTTCTATATTGTTTGAGTATTATTGGTAAATATTTCTTACCTATTTTTGTTGCTTTAAGACTTCAAAGTGGTGGAGTGGGTGGAGGTTCGTTTTTGCGGATTCTCCACGCGTCACTGAACAGAAAACTTGTGCTCGCAGTTCACGAAACATAAATTGTTTGGGAAGACCGCGGAATGTACTCACTCCTACAAAAATAGCTGCCTACATTTGGAATCTTTGTTTAACTTTTCTTTTAAGAGGCTTATATTTTTCTTTAAGAGTTTCATGTTAAATAGAAAATCTTAATAAAAGTTTGTTTTTATATTTGTCACGAATAAAAGAATAATTCTTTTTGCTATAAGTATATCAGATACAAATAAAGAGTTTGATAACTTCTAAGTGTGTTTTTATTTTGTGGTAACATTTTGAAAAGTAGGCAGCTTGTTTTTTTTCTCAATTAAGCTACTGAAGTGTTTACAAGGTTGGCTATACTAAAATATACGTATAAGTACATTTGTCTTCAGCGCTCCAATCTTTATGATTTTCCGATTACGGTGTAATCAACTAACTTCACGAGCATGACGTTGGAAGCATGTCAAGTATTCTCGTGTTCGTCCAACTTTTGAATTAACTTCGGAACTTGATTACATTTCAGCCAGTCCTGAGGCGAAATGCATTTAAGAGTTAATTGCAGAACCTTATTTATATCGTCTCTGTTCGTAAGATGAAAGACCATCTGCCTCGGTGATGCAGTGGTAACGTATGCGACTGCTGTGCTGAGGTCACGGGTTGTATTCCCGGGTCGGACCAAATGTTTGTAGGATCTTCAAATATTTGTTTCGGATGTTTTCTATGTATAATATGTATGTATTTTTAAAAAAAGTATATAAGTATTCTTTCAGTCATTTTAGCTTTCATAGTACAAGCTCTGCTTAGTTTAAACCTAGATGACGTTGTGTACCAGATGTCCAAAAATATTATTATTCTATTAAGACACGTCTATATCGCTGAAAGGTTATACAGAGGCGTATTATACATTTTCCTGACCACGATTTCAGTCCCACTTACGTAATGGTGGCAAGCCTAATAATGCCAAAAACCGGGCACTTTCCTATAAAATGGCCAAATTTGAATAATTGGGAATGAGATTTTAAAGGAAAAAAGGATATCACTTATACGGATGGATTAGGGTGTGTAATCAATAGCTCGAACAGGTCAGAGTCATATACCAGCTGAAGCGTTGTTTGTTTGTTTGGTTAAACGCGATAATATCAAGAACCACTGGTTTGAATTGAAAAGATATTTTAGTATTGGATAGCTCATTTATCGAGGAAGGTTATAGGCTACACAACATTAATTTAAGACCATTGTGAGCCGAGCATCAATGAAAAATGATGCAAAAACAGGGGAAATATCTTATATACCTTTCTTGTATAATCTAATCTAATACCTTTGAGAGACGGAGACGAAGTTGCGAGGGGCATCTACTCGTAGTATTATTTTAGAAAAAAATCTGGCCCTCATATATTTATGATTTTAATTTGATGCACTGCAATGACTGCACGGATGGCGTAGAGGTTTCTTGCCGCTTACTAGTGTTGTGGGTCTGATCCCCACATGGGAAGACAATTAGTGTGTTCCACAAATTATTGTTCTGAGTCTGGGTGATCTTTGTGTCCGTTTCATGTATGTTTGTAAAGTCCTAATTCGGGAGTTGTCTTTTTAAGGAGAAGAGAATTTTAGAATGACGAACATTCACTAACAATGCTCAAATTAGCAATACACTTATACTATTTTAACGTCAATTGCATTCATGCGCGACTTGCCACTTTAAATGTATGCACACCATTAGACGCGTCAAGGTTAAGATCGCAGCGCGATAGCTATGATCAACAGACGCGTTATTGATACACAACGCGTGGGTTTATAAAATTTGTTCACGCGCTAATGGAAACTCAAGTCTGAATTCTACTGTTTCTTACAGTTTCTATAATACCTGAGGATATTAGAAATTAAATTTGAGATCGGAAAGAAAAGAAACATTTTTGACTGTTCGAATTACAAAATGGTATAAAAATGACTTTGAAAGTTACTTGAAAAAATACATTTGCTACTTGAATGACAAGAAAAATATGTTTAGGCCAAGTAATATATGTATTCCTCCGAGTTGGGATCAAACTATTTAAGTCCTAGTACTCCCTTAATTTAACGTTTGTAACTAATATTACAGTAAATCAGTTTGTTTATTTCCCTTTTTATCCTTATCTACTCAATCGAACATTATGAGCCTTTGCATTCACATGGTCAGATATATCGAAAGCGATTTGAAGTATCATTCATTCTTAAACAAATACTGTTCCCGAGCGTCAACTGAATAATTATACGACAATAAGACGTGACATGCCTACTTACTGCATGGATGGCGTAGTTGTTTAAGCGGTCGCCACGCCGCTTCCTATTACGCCGAGTGTTGTGGGTTCGAACCCCACGTGGGATGACACTTTGTGTGATCTACACATTGTTGTTCTGAGTCCGGGTGTTCTTTTTATTCGTTTCATGTACGTTTGTAAAGTCCCCCGCGACACAGGATATATTCCTAATGTGGGAGTTTTCTAAAAAAGAAAAAAGATCTAACAGAGCCATGCCTCAGCACAATGTACCGTCTCGAACAGAGTTCTATCACGACCTACGACGATTTAAGCGAGTGAGTGGGTGATAACTCCCTCCCTCATTCGCCAAAGTGTCACAAGTCGTCCTACAATACTCAATTAACTAAAAAATATATATAAAAAGGGCTGGGATTTTTTTATTCAAATTCAAGGGACCAAACGGGCAGTACAATTCTTTTAAATTAAAAAAAAAAAACAAATTGGCTCATGAATGACGAAGGTAACAAACATAAAAAATTACAGCCGAATTTTAAACCTCCTCCCTTTATTGATGACGGTTAAAAAGGTTCAAAACCAATATTGTAAGATTTTTGTAAAAATACTGATTAAAAGACACCTACTTACTGCCATACTACTACGATACGTACTATTTCTAAACATGATATCATTTGTGATATAAATTTCACTGATACCTAACGCGTGTGTGTTAACCAACTCAGAATAAACATCTAAAACATGTGTTACAATTCATCATTGAACTTTCTGTTTTGTCCACAGTTTGCGATAAATTTATTTCGGACGCTACCACCGTCATCGAATCCTAATGGCGCAGAGTTTGATCCTGAGGAAGATGAGCCTACGTTGGAGGCAGCCTGGCCACACTTACAGTTGGTATACGAACTGTTCCTAAGGCTGCTGGAGTCTCCAGACTTCCAACCCAACATCGCCAAGAAATATATTGACCAGAAGTTTGTTTTACAGGTTAGTTAAATGTATACCTTACTCTTACTATGTAGGATAAATTTGTAACTTCTTTTTAAATCCTTTGGACTAAATAATAAAAATAACCAACTCCTTAAGAGGCTCACGTTAGACGGCTGGATCAAGGGTCGGATGCAGAAGGCAGTTCTTGACACGGCCCGTACAGTGAGGAGGTTCCTGTCTTTGGAGTCCTAACCATCGGTGTCTTGGTCCGTGAACCCGATGTCGGTGGTCTACTATTTTTTATATTTTGTAATATATTTAAAAATGTAATCAATATGTAATAAAGAGAATAATAATAATATATCTATCTAGATGATCATGTACAGATTTGTGTGGACTTCCCCTAGATTCTGCGGGGAGGGACTGAAAGGGCAGCAAGGCACTCTTGAGCCTGCAGCTCAAGAGTCAGAAGTGTATGCATGAGCGGCGGTAGTCAATTACCATTAGGTCCTAAAATAAAGTTTCGCTTGGCTACAAAAGCTACGGATTTGTCATATTGAAAACCAAAATGAGCGTTGAATAATAACTCTCAGTACCTAAAGAAGTACTGTAACTTCTCGATTGTAACGAACACATTTGTATACTACACTCGCAGCGTCAATCAACATTACCTGCCATTACTGTCAATATAATATATACCTTACACACGGCCGTCTGATCCCAAACTGGGCAGAGCCTGTGCTATGGTAATCAGACTGCTGATAGACATACTTATATATTTTTTCAAACATACATATTATAGATATATTACCGTGACACAGAACAAATTACCGTGCTCATCACCCAATATTAATATATATGTATGTTGGAGCGACTTTTATTTGCGCAGAGTGCTCGTACAAACATGTCTCCATACAGATTATATTTTAGCATGACAAAAAGTTTACGAATTACAAGGCGCCTAGGGTAGCATTATTAGTGTCCCCGTAATAGAAACGCGACTTCATCAGAATATACAGAAACTTATCTTCGTAAATTACAGTTCCAAAACTGTTATTCATTAAATTTACCCTCGTTTCCATACGTATAGTGTAGCTTAAGCACCAATGCCTTTGTAAGACCGAGTTAGTCATAGATGTCTTGATTAAAACGTACCCTACAGAGGGGAAGCACGTTCCCTGGTAGTACTTTTACAATGGGCGCCGTTGGGAGAGGGGTATATTGTTATAATAATGTGTTCTATTGATTTTATGCAGATCATATTCTTCTTTGTCGCTCTGAATGATGAATGAATATTGAGCATTTGAATGAAAGAATGATATGAGAAATGTATTGCAAGCAGTTTTGCTCGCGTAGAAACAAATATTACGTTCCCCTGGATAAATGCTTTTTTTCAGGATGAAAAAAGCATTTATCTCTTTGTCCTATGTATCTGTGGCAAAGGGTATCCAAAACTTCGTGATATTAGGATGAAAGGTACGACAGCGAATTATATGCAAGCAAAGACACGTTCGTTTTTATATATACTGTTTTTATGTTTATACATGTATATTAAAATAACCGATGTTCATATTTTAATATCGTGAACTCGAAACTGCTTCTAAACATACTTACGAGTATATATTGCTAAATACATACTGTTTTTAAATCCCTCCTCCCCCATAACCTAAACCGAACAACTGATCATATTCGTCATACAGTTATTTGTTCTGGGTAGGAATTGATCTCACAACTTCTTTCTCGGCAGTCGAATCCGAGTACCTATAGCATATAGCCCAGATGTTCTCTATTTGAAATCCTCGATCGTCTAATGAATAATTAAAAATGATCCCGGCTTATTTATACGTCATTTAAAAAACGTCGTATTATCGTGGCCTCTATATATGGTATGCTGGTATATATGCTGATGGGAAATGAAGACACCCGCTGCGTTTTATTTATTACGGTAGTAAGCAGTTTATTATAATCGTAATACAGATATCGTTAAGAAGATTTGTAACTGATTTATTTTTCTTTTTAAACATCGTCGTTGATTTATTTAATATACAATTTGTTAATAATCGTTACGTTTAGGAAAATAAGTAAAAAACTGCGGTTAAAGTGCAAAAGGTTGACTGGACAGCAACCTAGATTTTGACGATACACCGTACATCCAAATCTGTTAAAGCATTTACAAGTTGTGGCGGATTAGAAAACCACACATGCTTACATATTACATACACATAAGTACTCGTATGTAATAATATATGTTACATCATTTTTCAATGTAATCTTCATCTAATGGTTTCCTGTAATAGATTCAAAGATTGCCACAGTACGATAAGTTCGCCAAAGGTATTAGCCACATGAGACTCCTATATTTTGATCTATTAGAAATATGAAATAATATTATTGTTATAAGATATATGAGACTATTTAACTCCAGAAGGCCAATCCTCGTAATAAAAGTTCGGTCACAATTCAGTTCCGATTATCTTTCGATCTCACAACTGTTATAAAAGGTATTTTTATTACGAGAATTGGCCTTCTGTTTTGGACAGTCATGTAAAAACCACTCCGTTTGGGATATTCAGGCGCAGGATATTCATATATATTGTATTTACGACCGGATGGCGTAGTGGTTTGTGTAACGGACTGCTATTCCAAAGGTCGCGGGTTCGATTCCCGCTCAAGTCAAACATTTGTGTGCATGAACATTTGATGTTTGATTTGGTCTGGGTGTTTCTATGTATAATATGTATGTATTTACAAAAAAAAAGTATATATGTAGATATTTATATCAGTTGTCTAGTACCCATAGTACAAGCTCTGCTTAGTTTGGGACTAGATGGCGTTGTGTGTATGTGGTAGAATATTATTATTATTATTATTTGCATACGCATGTTACTATAAAACGAAAGTTTTAGCAAGGTAGTAATAAAATAACACAACAATTGGCTTTGGTGGGACAAAGAGTTAATTAATTATAATGTTTTTTTTATCTTATAGTTATTATCTGCACGATGAGTGTTTCCCAACATGCAAAGTGTAATTTAACTATGTATGTACATATATATTTTGTGTACGCATGTAATACTTGGTAGAAAAACATTTTACGTGAGAAAATCTTAATGAGTTTTTGATATCAGTCGGCGTGTGGTTGTTGCATGCTAATCGCTTCTGACCTGCGATTAAAATAACATTGCAGTATCGTTAGCTTCCATTTTCCTGGATATCTCTTCATCATCAACACCTTTTAATAGTCCACTGCTGGACATAGGTCTCTCCTTAGAAAATACGTTTTGGCCTACTATACCACGCTGGCCAGACGGGTTGGTACAGTGTTTGTGTCAAGTTTTCCTTCTTTTTGAGGTACTGGTGTCCTGCGTTGTTTCTAATTCAGCTCTTACGACACCCACGAGATGGAATGGAATTGGATATTAATTAATGATACTCTCTTAAGTCGTTAAAATAGGTAACCCAAAAATATATAGACTACAGAATTAAATATTTACACTACAAAGAATTAAATTATTCAATTATTAAATCAATCATCATTACATTATAACACGTATCATAAAAGCGACCAGCGCCAGACATAGATATGTACTGAATTAAAAAAAATACATACACAATCTGATTCCTAAGCCCCACTATTCGTAATGTGATTATTTAAAAAGACATAAGTACAGTCTAGGAAATCAGTAGCAAATATCATAAATCACAGTTAATTCCGTGCCATATAATAAGTAGTGTCATTGTTCGTCTCATATCTCAAGATTTTTTTTTGGTGTTATTATTTAATACATAACGTAACCACCATTTTAAAAAAAAATCCATGGTTCATCTTCTGACTTCATCATTAGATCATCACCATGTTCATATAGTATACAAATTTCAAATCCAAATCCCAAAGGTTATAAAATATCTAATAAAAATTTCAAGTGCAAGTTATAACAATTGCGATTGCCCGTAAATACCTTTTAATATTCCTAAGCACACAATTGTCCAGCGGCTACTACCGCAATATGACCTTAACCTGTTAGCTGTTATCATTTAATGGAAGCAGCGGGCAGCGCCTCGAACTTGCCAAGTAAATATTGATTATTCAACTGCGTGTGTATTCCTGTACGAAACCTAGGCAACGTAGCCAATTTCGTAATTACTACATGAAAAACGTATACCTGGTGATATAACTATGCGTATACCTATCTATAAAGATTAATTATGGTTAACTTGAACTTCGTATAATAATGATATTGTATTCAGTATTTGATGAACAAAGAATAAAACTGTTATGGAATTCTGAATTGATATATTATAAGACTGAATATTTCTGTGTTGTCCGATGAAGACGACTTATAATAACAATACGTAATAAAATATATTTCGCACACTTCTAAATTCCTGTACTTAAAATTCATAAATATTTCTGGCACTACTAAGTTCAGAAAAAATTCGTGAAAAACAGAGTTTGCCCAAACGTTCTCGAAAATTTGTGGTGTATACCACTCTGCTGTAGTCAATCATATTGATAGTCTCATTAGGATAGTTCCAGAGCTTTGATGGTGCCATATAAATATGAATTACTGTGGTAATCTTTGTTCAAAGTTGGAATTGTCGCGAGACATATATAATTGTTTGTTTTCCATGAAAGGAATAAAATATGACATTATTTCTTTTCCCTTTCCAGGTTTTATCCACTAAAGAGAAAATACACTGATTTTATAAGGTTTGAAATTAGTTGTGCCTTAAAATATGTTCATGTTAATGACTAATAAACGACGGATACTGCAAGATAGTAATGATAGGCTTAAGCAGAGTTAACGATAGGTTGCTTTCATTCAGGTAAAAATTAAGGAAGAAGGTTATTAAGATCACTTCGTTCGTTTTATATGTAACTGGCTGTTGGTTCAGCTTCGCTATCGTTAATATATCATTTGTAAATCAATTCAGGTGTCCCTTTGTTAATGAATGATGATAATTATTTTGTACAAAATGTTATTAATACGCGGATTACTAAGAAGACATATTTTAAAGGATAGTGTCAGCCCCTCAACAAAAAAGAATTAAGCAAATAGTATTCTCTTATTTCTGCCTCTGCGCATGGAGCGAAAAATGTGCAGTTTGGTAAAGTATGTGCTTATTAATTATGTAATTAAACACCAACGTTATTTCTTACAGTTACTAGAATTATTCGACTCTGAAGACCCCCGGGAGCGTGACTTCTTGAAGACCACGCTCCATAGGATATACGGCAAGTTCCTCGTGCTGCGCGCGTACATTAGGAAACAGATCAATAACGTGTTTTATAGGTGAGTTGGATGGCCACAATTACCCACTCACACAAAGCATACGTACGTCATATGTACACAGGCTTTGTACAAACAAATTGTGATAATGGGTAACCGATTGGGTAACGTTGACTGTACACATTGTAATCACAAAAATTTGTTTCAATATTGAGTTTTCACGTGTCGCGTATTAAAAATATATTAAACATTTCAAGGTTTCATATGTCGATAACTTGATGAACCGTTTAAAATCTTACGTTGTTTTTAATATATTCGGGAACCAGAATAGCTGCAGAGGACTAGAAATTGACAGTACAAAATATCAGACTAACTGTCTATGGAGGTATATTGCAGTTTATTGTTTAGGGTCGACATAACCCCATTTTGCGGTGTTTTCAACGCATGTCACCTGCGTTTCTGTAATTGTATCTCAATCCCAATCTTATATTAGTAATGTTAAGTAATCCTAGCTTGCCAGGATATTTTTTATTAACTTAACAGTCATTTCAATTTTTTAAACAGTTACAAATTAAACCTAGACTCAGTTCTTTAAACTGTACAAGCACTCCACATTTATAGTTGGCACAGTGACCACGTGTAACTTAAACCACTCTTAAATCTACAAATTAACACAGGCATAATTAGAAATATTCAAATTACCAAAAATTAAAAATTTAGTCATAACCAACTATGGTATTGTAGCATAATTTGCCCTGTCATACATCATCCATAGCCTTTAATAGTCCACTGCTCTCGATATAGGCCTAGTAGGTCAAAACCTCGTTTCTAAGGAGAGCCTTAAAAATGAGGTTTTAGCCTACTATACCACGCTGACCATATGACATACACGGAGGCACAAGTCTATACCTTGCTAATATAATACACTGATCAGATGTTGTAGTACTGTTAGAAGACGATCATAGAACAATTTCAGAAATAAACTAATAAACTTCACCAAGTTCTGTCTACATACAAAGTACGAAGGCAAAATTCAGTGTCCAATTAGTTTAATAGTAATGTTGCGGCGAACAAGCAGTTGCTTAATATAATCTCAACTTTTACTCCCAAATGTACACTGTACTAACTTTTGCATGATGTAACTTTCATTAGGCAAAACAATGCAATTCAACTTTTGGCAAATAGAGTACTGTAAATAAGAAGAAAATCGTCCTACACTGTGTGAAATATTTATGTGTCAGATATCTGCCAACGGAAAAAATATCGTTTTCAATGTGTCTCAGAATATAAATTAATGTAACAGTAATATATTTTTTTAATATTTTGATAACGATATAATGTTGTTTAGATTTATTTACGAAACGGAACATCACAATGGCATCGCGGAGCTACTGGAGATCCTCGGTTCCATCATAAACGGATTCGCGTTGCCGCTTAAAGAGGAACACAAACTATTCTTGCTAAGGGTGAGTATATTCCAAAGGTGTAGGCACCTATAAAAATTGGTTGTTAGCAAGTTCTGTATAATGTTCGTCTTTAGGTCGAAATTGAACTTTAATTTATTAAATTAATAATAAAAGACCTGTGGGACGTGGGAAAAATACTGTTTCTATTTGTCCAAACAAAAAAGAAAATTGATTGGTTTGTTTGGCTTTGATATTAAAAGGCAACCCAGCTATAGCTGGCTTTTCTTCGTTTTCGAATGTAATTCAGTATATTTGTTTGAATTTGAGTTTTGGGTCAATGTTGAATTAAATGTTCAAATTACGCCGACGCAATAAATACGAGTATAAGTGATATACTGTGAACATGTTCACTAACCGCATGAAACTGAAATGCAAATTACTAATGTCTTCATTTATAGTCGACTGCCAGAATTGTATTGTTGGCAGAAATATTACTGCATTTACTAGAAAATTGTGTTTAACATTACATTATGATTTACTCAAGGCTAAAATTGTAAAATGTTTATGTGTATAAGAGACGGTAAATTCTTCTTTACTGCAGAATTATAAATATACGTAGGAAATTTTGTTGTTTTGTACTGAAACTGATTACAACGGTCTCACCGTAAGAAAGCCACTTTGTGTAGAAAATTACGTTTTTGAATAGATTTTATTAGAGTAATAGGTAAAGAGTTTACATACAGAATATATGACCGTGTCAGTACAGAAACTCCACTGTGTAATTTTTTTTAAACAAATAGCGACTCTTGTTAAGACACTATAAAGTTCAACAGATCGCTCAGCGACTCTATCTTACAACTCTTTATCTCTTCTAAGACGTTAGCGGCAGATTTCTAAACCTTTTAATGTGTTTTAGAAGTATCAAAAAGAAGTTTAAGAGAGTTTGGAAGTACCGCACCTGTTTGCTTACCGGCGCGCGGCATCTACTGAGTTAGTTCGACTCTTAAAACGAAGCAACGTACTTGTAGCCTCATATCTAGAGTTTAGAGTGAGCCAGGACTGGTGTAGATTGTAATTGGTTAAATAAATAAGCCCTGCCACCGTTTCATTTTGATATAATGTTGAAAATATTCTAAAACTACGGTTGTTCGAGTCATAGTTTCTTATGTGACGTAACTTTTCAGGTTTTACTTCCACTACACAAGGCCAAGTCATTATCAGTATACCATCCACAATTGGCCTACTGCGTCGTACAGTTCTTAGAAAAGGACCCGTCACTAACACAACCTGTAGTTAGGTAAGTTAATTCTCTTCCTAGGTATTGTGATTACTTATGAAGGGTGGACAGAGAACACGCCTAGTTCGGTGGTGTTCGGTTTTTATTTTATAATCGGAAAGCTACTTACACGACACTTTTACTTCAGTTTTTTTTAATATCTATATAAACATTTGAGGGTCAGACTTAATATTTTCCCGGTAACAGTCGGTCAGTGTCACATGACCTATTTCATACGATAGAATTACAAGTAAAAGACAAGCTTAAATCTCCTCTTTTTAGCTGAATCTTGACGAAGATAACTTAAATCATCTGATCCTTTTGACAAAGATTATTGAAGAACTAACATCGCTTTACATCATTCCAGGGCGTTACTCAAATATTGGCCGAAGACACATTCGCCTAAAGAGGTGATGTTTTTGAACGAAATGGAGGAGATCCTAGACGTGATCGAACCGGCCGAGTTCCAGAAGATCATGGACCCGTTGTTTAAGCAGCTCGCTAAATGCGTTTCCAGTCCTCATTTCCAGGTTTGATATCAAGTTAATATTATCGTATTAATAAACACATGCAAATTATTTTAACTTTCAAATTTATATTATTGAGAAAAGGAGGATGACAATACCGCCTATACGTTGTTTTAACTTTGATAATATTTGACCACAGGAAAATTACTTAAGAATAAAAATTCAACGGGTATTATAAAATTCGGTTTTAATTTCAGTGTTTTATATTTATTGGTTTATTTGTTATAAACTGTAATTGTAGGGAATTTTTAAGTATCTTGCTTGCTTTAAAAAAGGTACGATCTGCGTAGCAAAAACACTAACAATATCCAATTGTATTTTACGGTTAAACCAGGGTTCCTAAATTTTCTTAACAATCTTCAGTTGTATATTATAAAACTGAAATTTATTTTTCTTTGCACTGCATAGAAGAAGTAAAAACAAAATATTACAAAACATCTTTTTTTATATCAAACAGTTTTTACAGTATGAAAAAATATTTTTTTATATTCATCCAGGTGGCGGAACGGGCCTTGTACTACTGGAACAATGAGTACATAATGTCGTTAATATCTGATAATGCGACTCACATCTTACCGATCATGTTCCCGTCCCTATACCGCAACACCAAGAGCCACTGGAACAAGACCATCCACGGGCTCGTGTATAACGCGCTGAAGCTGTTCATGGAGATGAATCAGAAACTGTTCGACGAGTGCACGCAGCAGTACAAGCAGGAGAAGCAGAAGTGAGTATAAAGACGGAGTTGTCGTTACTAGTAGAAGAATAATTTTAGTTATAAGATTTTAGTTAGCGTGTTATTGTAAAGTATGTTTAATTGTAAACATTTTCTGGTTTATTTTTGAGTATATTTATATTTATTGATAACTTCGTTTGATATCGAAAAGAGGTTTAATAGGTTAACTTCATAAAGGTTGGAAAAAAAGGTGAGCCGTCTGTTCGTTTGCCCCCTCTCATATAAAAATGATTATTAGACTTTGAAGAGCTGTTGTTGTGCGAGCATTAGCGTGTTAGATGAGCACGTCGCTGAGTGTACATGTGCATGTGGTCAGGGAGCGCGAGCGCCTGCTGCAGCGCGAGGAGGTGTGGCAGGCGCTGGAGGCGCGCGCCGCCACCAACCCGCTGGGCGCCGGCGCGCTGCGCTCCCCCCCGCACCCGCCCGCGCGCCCCGACGAGCCGCTGCCGCCGCTCACCTACCAGCGCATCGAGCAGGAGGCGCAGGAGGTTAGCTTAGCTTTCATTCCGACACCCTTTCGCACTCGTTCTGTTAACTTCTCTAATCTAATTCCACCGTACCGTGTGGTACCGTGTACCGTGAGGGTAGGTCGACTGCACAATCGCATCGAAAACCAAAAAAATAATTACATACATTTTTATTGACATGGTGCGTAAAGATAGATCCACCCACTCATTGAAGAAAAATAAATAACAACTCTATGAACCGCAAAAAATATTTCATATTACAAAAAACTGATACGAATGTTCGAAATTTACCTTGAAAATCCAAATATACCATTTGAATCTTCAAGATAAACCCCACCGTGGCCACTTTCTAAACTTGCCATTTCAAAATACTCATTAAACCATTGCGTTTTAGAGTTATTAAATAATTAACTATTTATATGTATAAATCTTCCCTCAGCTCCGAAAGCAGGGCTACAACGCCAGCAAACCCCTGCTCCGCAAGAAGTCAGAACTGCCAGCCGACTCTACTACGGTCAAAGCGTTGATCGAACACAAGCGCGCCGACGCGTACCTGTCCACCCCGCCCGACGTCAACCAGTGCTAGCGGGACCTACCACTGCACTCGGAGGGAGCTTCTTGTACTGGTGGGACTATAGACTGACTGGACACGAATTACTGGCCTTAACTCGCTCACCCAGAGCTACCACAAAACATTGAAGTAATCAACAGATTGATTTCGAGACATCTTTCACTTATTCAGTTACATAATGAATAGCAAACCAGTTACAAGCTAATATGACTGAAGATTAAGTGACATGCAAACAGAACCCAAACATTTTTCTGTTTGACAGCTTTCAAGTGTTACGTCACAAACAGGTATTGAACAAATCATCGGCTTAAGATTCTCGTGCCTAAAAAGCCAGTCTGCAATATCGATTCCACCAAAAACTGTTTAACGTGACTTACCTGTAACGAATTTTCAAATGGTCGATGGCCTCATAGCTATTCAATAAATGTAAACTACTACGAGTTATACGAATAATCGTGTGACTATAGTGCTGGACTTAATGACTTTGTTGTCACTACGAGTGTGCGAGCGAGAGGACGCTATATGAGGGACACGAGTGACGCATTGTGGTCATATTGAATAGTTAGTACACATATATTATTAAATCAGTAGTGTTATTTTGTTGATGTTTTATATCCACTCGGGTCGACAATGGTGTACGAACTGCGCGATCACCGGCCAATCAAAAGCTTGTTACTTTAACGCGCTGTCCCCTGATTGGTCGGATATCACGCTGTATAAATCGCTACTTCAATGTACTCGGGGCACTGCTGTTGAAATGATTGTATTAAATTAATATATTTGTGTTCGTAACGTTGTCGACCTTTATTGTACGGAAGTAAGTTGAGAGTGACTGAGATACTGTTTTCTTTTCGTGGTCCTTCACAAGTACTTGCAGATGGCTTACTTATGTGTCAATAAGTTGTAGTAACTTGCAAAAATTTGATGTTGTATGATAACGTAAATTACCGTGACCCTTATTCTATAATTAGTCTATTTCTTAATTAACCAAACTGCTAAAGGAAAAAGATAGCAACACATCTCTTTCTATCACTATTGAAAATAGATGTCAATACAATTCCTCAACATTTGAAGTATGTACTTTCAAATCAGGGAACAAACCTTATATAGTTAGAAAGGGATAAAGTAAACAAGTCACGGTAAAACATTGAACTTTCATCGTATATAAATGTACAAGTTTAAAAGTGTGGACTTGCTTTTAGATCTCATTCGCTGGAGTGTTGAAAGCCTCACGCGATCTGAATGTTTCATTTTCAATATGCATCACAAAGCGCCTTGCATTCGTAACATATTTTTATTTTGAGTTGTCTACCGCTGCTGTGCACGTTATGTTTAGCTCTGCTTCAGAGAACATATTTTTTCGCCACGTCTACCACTTTCTGTCAATCTGACAATATAAAACGTTTGTTTGCAAACCAATGTGTAATTATTTATCAATTTATCGATTAATTATTCGGTTAATTTAACGATTAATTTTTTCGTTAATCTTTTTATCGAGTAAGTGATTAATCCATTCAACGAATCAATGATATAGTTAACCTATTGGTAAATTATGTAGTTGAATCGTGATAATGATTAATTTTGAAAGTAATCAAAGAAAATTTGCAAAAGCGTTTGTGTGTAATAAAAAACATTATTATATAAGGTTGTATAAATATTATTTTGTGGTAAAATATTAAAAAATAAAGTGCACTGCAGTAAACGGCATCTTTTTTTTCCATTTATTTTTATATTAAGTAACAGGTAACACCATTCCACTACAGTACCACCTACAAAGTGTTTTTAAAACATTTTAGCCCATTGTAATAATTTAATTTAGATTTTAATCATGTTTATTTAAAAGCCATAATGTTTTAGGTAACGAAGATATCATCAATTGCGATTTAAATAAGAGAGATCAAGTTTGAATCGTGTATTAAAAACGAATTAACAATTACAATTGATGGTTGCTTTTTTAAATTTCTGTTCAGAGAGAGTGTATGTCGCGTGGCTGTTAATTCATAGAGAATAACGTCGATGGCTACTCTGCTAGCTCTCTCTGGACAGTTTAAATATTTAATTTATTGTTTATTAAACCAAATACATGAACACATGTTTTTATTGATATCCATTTGTTTGACATAAACTTTATGTCCTTGTATATATAATAAGCAAGCGTAGATTAACCATATCTGAATCTATATCTAATACTGCAAGACCATTCTAAATTTGTCATTTTTAAACACAATTTTAGGCTCGTGGTAGTCAGTCGCTTCGTGCTAGTCAGAGCCCTAAAAAGTTCGACGACAGTCATTCTAAAGAACGTCGATATCGCCTAGTACTTGGGTTGTGGAGGTTTGAGGGCAGTCACTCGGCGTAAAACATCGAAGTTCAGCCGTATCGCAGTAGACTTGCGTAGAAGCCGACCCCAACTTAGTTTCGAAAATACCTGTTGTCATTATTCTTGTCTCCACTAAGTCGATATTTATATTAATGGCTACAATTAAGACTTAATATATTTAAAGTTTATGTCAAACTGTAGGGTATCTGTATATTTTAGTCGATTTTTTATTAGGATGACATTACACGGTCTAATTTTATATTCAACTTTGTGATAAGCAGGGAGACAGACCGTTGTTAATGCACCACAATGGGCGAGGATTAATTACATGCACAATACTAACAAAAATGCATTTCATTTAATCATTACTAAAAATAATATAAATTATTTTTTGTCTCGCCTGTTTCTCGGGGATATATTCAGCTTATGTCACCGAATTTCTGTATATATTACAGACATCGCCTCACATTTCCTGTTTTTAACAACCGAATCTCAAATCACAAAGTGTTATTATAATACTATTATGATTCTATTTAAAATAAAGAATAGCTAAAACAAAGTAAAGTCCAGCGTATCGAGAAACCTACACTTTTGAGTGATAGGAAGCTCTTAAAGTGCCCCAGTTTTAAATTGACGAAATAATGTTGTTTTATTGTAGATGTCGTCGAAATTTTCAGTTTTTATTGCTTTATATGAAAATCAGAAGATAAATAATTCTTTCAATAAATCAAATTATCCAAAACTTTTAACGTAACAATCAAAACTGAATTTAAAAACTTGGGACAGAATGTTGGTCCACTAACTTTAGCCTTCACTATAAACATATTGTTTCTGCTATAAGTATTTTTGTACTGACGTAAGCTGGATATGTCATCGCCATTCGACTACTAGTTAGTTTATTTATATGGAATATAATATGCCTATCTGCCTTTAAAACTTTATTTTAACAAACTTAGGGCACCCACGGTGATGTATTTCATTATTTTTTAAGTTTTATTATTTCTTGTGTATAGTGTGCCAAAGGTGTTTGCGTTGAAGTCATTTCAAACAGTCTTTTATCTTGTATGTATGTATAAAATGTATTAGAAAGAGCTTGGGGAAAGAGAGTGTGGAGCACCTATATATGTAGTTATTTATTTTTTTATTTCGATTTTAAGTCCCGTCTTACATGGGTTGCACTTTTAAGTATACCAGTTACAAATCTGTGCTTCGAACCGTTCAAATTGATTCGGAAAATCCTTCCAATTTCAAATTGTCAATAAATTTCAATTTTGGAATGCCAACACGGATTAGCGCGTACCGGCTCGAAGGACCATCACTGGTTTTGTTGCGTATCACCCTTGTGAGATGGGTGTTACTTCTGTAATGAATGACGACTGAAAGGAAATTATCTAGTGAAGTTTTGTTAAAGTATTTGATACTATCCACTGATTTGTGCGAAAACCATAAATAATCCAGTAGTCATTGAAAATATCTGCTAATAAGCCCTTATCGACAAATAACTAAAATGTCTTTAATTTTTATTTGTCAAACAATATGGAAACTTATTCCATATTGTTTGACAAATAAAAACTTAACTGACCATCAATCACTCATAAAGGAAAGTTGATAAGTATCAAGTACTATTTAAAAGAAAAAAAAAACATTATTTTCAATACATCAGCAAGTGACTGTGCTAGACTATAATATAGACAATTCTAATCGTAAGATGTAAACTCTATTGTAATATTAATATGAAATATTTTGCAATACGCTTCTGGTAAGCAAATAAGTGCAATGTTTTGATAAACATATAAAATTTAACGTCTCGTACAGTTACTTGCTACATCTACGTCTGTCTGTCTGTTAGTGTGATGCATGAACGGCAAACGACCTCACATATTAGATAATTATTTGCAAAACGCTGTTCAAGAAATTCATAAATTTTGTATAAATATTTATAACGATAATGTAACTGTTGAAAACAAATATTGTAACAGATGACATATTATACGGTGCTTATGATTATCGTTATAATACAAAGTTGTGCATATAACGTGAGTTTTATTTACCAGTGCCTACTACGTACGTACAGGGTTTACCTCTATAGTTTGTGGTCTATAGTCCAGTCAACGAGCTAAGAAACGGATTAATTCCTTTTCTCGGTCCTGAAAATATGTGCGGAAGATCATTCGATTCGGAATGACGTCTAGAAAAAGGTATCTCCAGCATTTGTTAGCAAATAAAGAATTGCAATTGTTATTAACAAAATAAAATGAAATAAGATGTGCCATTTTTCGTTAATAATTCAGAAGAAAATCCGGTCTCCCGGAATGCTATCTCTATTATTTATAATTTTTATTCAACGCCGAAAATAGGCCAGAGAGCAAGCGGCCCTTGAAGTCGATGCGCACGCGGTCAGCGCGCTCCGTGTCCTATAAGAAAAACGCAGTTCTTCGCGGTTTCACCTCATGGCCATTACCTGTTACCAACTACTGATATTTTTTTATGGAAGAGTGGGCAAACGAGCAAATAGATAGTGACCTGATGGAAAGTAACTACCGCCGCCCATGAACGTCTGCAATTCAGGAAAGAACTTGAAAAAAAAACAGAGATATAGGTTATAAGCAAAAAAGTTGTTGATAAAATCTTTTTTATACTTATGACTGACACCGTTATACACCTTTGATCAGCAAATAAATATATTAGTTATGAATTATTATTAATTACTGACAATCACACTCACAAATTACTGACAATTACACGAGGTTTTAAAACAATAAATACTCAAAATTATATATGGATAATTTTATTTCTTATATACAATATAAGTATATACCAAAAAAAACCGAGTATCAGGGTCAATATAGACATGAGGATCTAGACTTTCTAACATAATATACATTTTTTGTAGCCCATTACAGGGCAAGCTTCATGATTCATATAGACCAAGGTACTCGTAAACAGTTCTACATCAGAATTTTATACATATAATTACATATTTCCTTACGTTTCTCTTAAATAGTTATAACTTAAAAGTAGATTAAAGGAGGGCAAAGCAAATTTTTTCTCTGTATTAAATTTATAGAAGCATAATAAGAGTAAGACAACTAATAGTTTTGTGGAATACAATTCAAATTCATTATTTAAATCCCTTAGAAATAATTGTTTGCTTTGTTGACTTCATAGCGGTGGCACTCGGAACTACAAATTTTTTTTTTGTGGTGTTGTGTTGGATCTTTCGTAACTGCCAATTTTGGATACTGGCAACCCAGGCGTGAGGATTTTTCATTCTACTTAGATTTCCATATTCAAATTACTTGAAAAAAAAAACATATTTCTTTTACAAAATCATCTGGTAATCCTGCATGGGTCTGTCAAAGACTTATAAAGTCCAACCTTGTGCCACCTCAACCATCACTTTTTATTGTCTTTGCCGTCTTTAGTTCAGCCTATGTTAAAGAAATGGCTCAGATGATGAAAACACTGTCAACTAGCATGATTTAGTTGAAACAGCCTGTAAAGCTGCTAAAATGGTTAAAACAAAAGGTCTCATGGTATGCACTTACAGGTCGATACAATGATACGTAACATAACTATTTTAAGAATGTTCGTCTCCAACACGAGTTTGGGACGGAAAAGGGGATTTATAAATTGATAATATAATTTTTCATAAGTATTACGGCATATGTACTTTTATATACAAATAAATATTCATCTATTTATATTAATTATTACATACTTATATATCATTATTTAGTTTCTTTTTCTAGGGATTTTGCGACATTTTTTTTAATTTACCATACAGCAATATTAAATCCTTACAAACTTAGAAGGTATTGCATCAAATTAATTTCATTTCTATTCACTTGCCTAATCTACAAATAGTCGACTTTATAGAGTAATGTATAATTGACCAAATAAAATTTAGTTATATCACTAGCCAATTTTATACAATTTGTGTATAACAATTTAGGCCATAATACTTATATATTCAGTGTTAGGAATGCAATTGAACCAGAGACTAGATAATTAACTTGAATAATAAAGTGACATCGTTTGTTTGAATACTTTAGAAAAGAGAGATCAGATAGGACAAACCGATTCTTATTTTTGACAGTTTTTTTTTACAAATATACACCAAAGTTAAAATTAGATGGATGTCAACAAAATTTTATACAAGTCAATAATTGTATATAAATTACATTTTATACAAGTGATACATTTCATGTGAGAAGAAAAGCTGTGCCAATTAAAATATGATGTAACAATATAAAAATAATTTCAAAAGTGCATAAAGTCGTATTTTTATTGGGGGACATGACGCAGAGATAAATCGAAGACAAATTGACCTCACTTTGACATTAGGGAAATTCATCTTAATGCAGACAGTGGTACAATAAACACTCAGCCCGCGGTATACAAGACAAAAAGGATGAAGTTGATCTTAAAATTCATTCGGTTAACATTAAACTAGTTGGCATTTTACCAAGACAATCAGTTTTTAAAAATTAATCAAGAATTAATGTTTGAACAAGATTAATGACAATGTTTATGGAAATAAACGAAGGTCATACAGAAGAAAAAGACGATATTGATGCGAATGCGATGCGATGCTAGAACTTCTCGTTCGTTGTAGTTTAATACTTTCATTTAAGAAGTTAGTAAAAAAACGAATATACCAACCCGTCTGGCCAGCGTGGTATAGTAGGCCAAAACATCTTTTCTAAGGAGAGACCTATGTGCAGCAGTGGACTATTTAAGGCTGTCGTCGATGATGAAAAGAGTGAATTTAGACAAAATGTCTACTATTGGTTGTGGGCTTCGGTTTCCGCATTTAGACTAAAAAGTGGTCCTTTATGTCTACTATTTTTGTGGACTGTTTATATATTTACGGTGTATTTTAGTTTGCCCATTTTTTTTTTCTTATTAAAAAAATATTGTTTTTTTAACCCAAAGGAAGTGCTTATTTCAGGTATGTAAAACAGACATACATTTTGAGAACTCATTAGGATGTGGTGAGTAAAAAAGATGAGAAGAGTCGAATTACTATTTATTTATAATGTAAATAATTTACAAAGAGCACCAAAACAACAAAATATAAACAAATAAAATAAAATTAAATAAAATGATTAATAGTGTTTTAAAATGACTAAGGTCATACACAAACAAAATATATATAAATATATACAGAAAGTTCGTAAGAAAGGAGTTTATTTTTCTCAGAAAAATATTTTGGGATAATACCAATATCTTTGTCATCTTACAGCGTCTTCTACTAGTTTTATTGCCCGTGTTTTAAAAAAATTATTGTTCCAATATATTAAACACACTGTGGCATTTATCTCAAAAGTATCAAATCTCTCTCGAAACGTACCGCGAAGTTACGTGCAACACAAAGAATATCATAAGAATTAACAACAACGGGGAATACATCACTCACCTATTCCCAATGACTTACTCTGTAAAAGAATTTAGTACGAAGCTCTTAAAGTTGAGTCTAAAATTAAGATCTTCTACTTGCAAGAGAAAGTAAAAATGTGTATCTTATGCAGCTAAGAAAACTGCCAACGGCCGGCGAAGAATATTTTTATGTGGGTACTAAAGAAATACACAGCAATTATGTACCACAGAGTAAACCGTGCAGCCTGAGACAATAGTATTTAATAAATCTGTAAAGGAGAAGAGAACGGAATAAAATGCGATGCGTATGGGCAAAATGGCGGGCGAACATACAAAATAAGGCCTTGGGGCTTTTCTTATGGTGACACAAAATGCTCTTATACAAATACATTATTGACAATTACCTTCGGTCGGCCAAAAAAAACAACCTTTTATAATCTCATGCAAGCAGTTTACTATTGAAGGTCAGATGTCAGAGTAGATTGGTTTAAACTTCTCAATCGTATACTATTTTTAAAGAACACTTATTTTAAAGTTATTTCTTGTCTAAAGGAGGGAAGTACCAGGCGTTTAGTTATAGAGAGGAGTTGCCGCGGTGGACTCCTATGGCTTATTTTCTCCTTGTGCTTAGTTGGTGCTTCAGCTGTTGTATAGCGTCGTGCTGCTTCGCTAGCTGTTCGTTGAGACCAGCCACGTGTTCCGTGAGAACGGACATCTGTTCTTCGTAGTTGTGAGATGTTGAGTGAAGCTCCTCTTCCTGTTTATAAATGAAAACTAATAAATTGACCTTTAATAGACAGATAAGTTTATTGTAGAGTAAAATCTGCACTGAAAATTGTCTAGTGCACCTAGTCACACATTTTAAGGTAGACTGGGAGAAAATGCCTGTGGCATTAAGTCCGCCATTGTACAACTCATACTTGTGCACAAAGAATTATAATAAATAAAAAAAATTATTATAACTGTATGTGTGCCATTTAAAAACAACAACAACTTAGTCTCTTAACTCCATATTTGAAAAGGTGTCTCAGTCCTGCATTAAGTCTTAAAACAAGTTTTAAGTACAGATTTTATTATTGAACGTCACTTAAAACGAGATTCACCGATCCATACTCAAGTGAGTGATGGCTTATTTTATGATGATGATGATCTTTGTTAACAAACTGAAGCAAGTCTCAAGCGGTGATTTCTAGGGCATTTTAGAGGAAATGAATGTGTTTTACGATGATTTGTTTCTGCATAATTACGAAAGATTTACTTTATTTACGAAAGAATTACTTGTTATACTATAATCAATTCACTTTAATTTACCTTAATTGATATTAAATTCCCTGAAATTCATATTTTACACACACAATACTTGTTTAAATTAAAATCACCACAACCTTTTGGTTTATGTTAAAAGTATAATATTATTCAACTAATATAAATAGAAATATAAAAATAAAAACATTGTTTGACATTTCAACATGAGAAGTGTTGATAAATAAGTTGAACGTTCCGATGTAGCCTATATCTAGACATTTTAATATTTATTATATTTATTTTGGACGAACAACAAGCTTGTTAATATGTTAACATTGCTACACTAGCCAATAATATCGCACCTTTATTCATAAACTGAATTAACTTAGAATTTCAATATTGTGGGAAATCGCATTTAAAGTTTGACATTCATGTACGTGCGAGTTCGTCAAAAAGAGAAAGACGATGTCTTATCTCTGCCATTTTCATGGTATCGAGTCGGCTGTTGGATTGTTCGTGTTCTACTGGTGAAGTTGATTTGGTATTTGTTGAAAACTCGAAAAACGTAAATTTTGAATTAATTCAGTTTATTATTAAAGGTGCGATATACTATATACAAATTACAACAGAAATTATGTTTGTAAAAGAATAAAGAAAAATATTTTTTAAATAATTAGTTGCATAATACGGAATAATAATGTCAATCATGCTGAAACGTAATTGATAACAGACTGTAAGTTCAAATCAATACTACAGTATACAGTACTAATCAATAAGCAAGCTAATTGCATCGTGTAGAAACCATCCACACATGTTGTATGACTCACCAATCTACTGATAGTGTTATGTTTCTCGTGTAATGTATGCTCGTCCGTCGCCTTCTCCCGCTCCATCTCCTCAAATCTGAGACGCAGCATCTCACACTGCAAAACATAAACACTATGAGTGGTTTGTAAATATGTGCTGAGGTCTCGAGTTCGATTCATGGGTCGGACCAAATGTTTGTATGGAACCAAATGGTTGTATGATCTGCAAATATTTGTTTTGGAGTTTGGGTGTTTCCTATATATAATATGTATGTATTTACAAAAAAAGTATATGTATTCTATCTGTGAATCTAGGTTTCATAGTTCAAGCTTTGCTTAGTTTGGAACTAGATGGCGTTGTGTGTCAGATGTCTAAAATATTATTTTCAGGTAAGTAACTACTGCTGCAACTTAAAAGATATTAGTGCGTTATCGCAGACCCTCCAGAATTAGGGGTATAGTAGGTCAAAACATCCTTTCTAAGGAGAAGTCTATGTCCAAAAGTCGTCTATTAAAGGGTTTGTTGATAATGATGAACCTCGCCTCGCTTAGCACCGGTTTCCTGAGAGGCCGTGGCATATCTTCGGTCAAATCGGTCCTTATGTACTGAAGCATGACCTTCCCACCGTTAAAAGAAAAACTAATCATTGAGTAGTTTATCGTAGGTTATTTATAAAGGCAAAACAGGAAGGCCAACGCTAAGACTACATGAGTAGAAGAATTCTATGCAGCTGCTATTTAGCAGAAGTTAAACAAACCTCTTTAACATAATGTTCAGTCTTGCTTTTCAACTCCTCTTTTTCAGCTTTCAACTCGCTTATCTTATTCCTAAAGTATGTCTTCATTCTATCTTCTCTTGCTTCGACTTCATGATTTAATAGGAATGGAACTTCGAGGCTTCCCAGCAGGCCAGTGATTCTACCCTCAGAATCCACAGTGGTTTCTCCAAAATTATTGAAGTCACCAGAGTCATGGCCGTCACTACGACGCTTCTGCGACGCCGATACGTATTTAGCTACTTCTAATTTTAAACTCTCGTTTTCCATTCGAAGTATTTCGAATTCCATTTTCAGTTTTTGGTTTTCCTGAAATTTACGGGTACTTATTAAAAGCAAATTAATTTTAAGCTTTACGCCTAGGAGAAATTTCTAATTGATTTCTGTATTTCAATAAACAAATAAAATAGTATTTGCATACAAATTGCAAATAAAGCAAAAGTAAGAAAGTAAATAACCTTTTTTTAATGTATATCTCACAGACGTGTTTTTTTTAAAGAGGAATATATCCTGTGTCGCACGTGACTTTACGAACATACATGAAACGGACACAAAGAACACCCAGACTCAGAACAACAATTTGTGGATCACACAAAGTGTCGTCCCATGTGGGGATCGGACCCATAGCACTCAGCGTATTAGTGAGCGGTGTGGCGACCGCTCAAACCACTGCGCCATCCGTGCAGTCTATATAAATCTATTCAATATACAAGTTTTTACACTAATATTTAATGAATACTTGGTTATTTATACAAATATACCTAGGTATAGAATGTGTACAATTGAAATGGAAATCAGCTGCCATTCTTGTTTTCTAACAGTGATATGTGTGGGTTGGTTTTATTCTTATTTCAGAAACTACTAGTAATTTTTGTTCTTTTTTATAAAAAATAAATATGATGTTACCTGATCCAATGTATGTGCTTTCATACTAAGTTGTTCTGTCACATTCAAATCGTCAACAGAACTTAATGCATCCTCACTCCCAACCTGAGAAATAAAAAAACCCATACTATGTTAATATAAATATACATATTTATTACAACTCTAGTACTGGCATTATTTATTTAAATAAAGAACACGCAAAATGTGGATAACAATTACATTTTGATTATACTAGCTGACCCGGCGAACTTCGTACCGCCTTAGAATTAATAAATTAGGCGCTGCCGCAGCAGCGCCGCCTACCGGGTCCAACTGTGTTTTCAAACCACCCAGGAACCCATTGACATACACACGAAATTTCATCCAAATCAGTCCAGCCGATTAGGAGGAGATAGGTTACAAACCCACATTCAGAAGAATTGTATATATTAAGATATGTCTCTGCTTCTTACCAAACTACCACCTTCTGACAGGAAGTCACCATTACAACTCGCAGCCTGACTACTGCCCGGTAAATGGGCTTTGTTTGGAGTACCACCTAGTCTTTCCTTCTGAACTTCTTCTAATGTTAGCTGTAGTTCTTGATTTTTATTCTTCAGTTTAGCTATCTCACATTTGTATTTGCTATCACATTCATTTATGTGTTTCTGGTAATCTTCTAGAGTTGCCCTGAGTTGGGACACTTCAAATACTTTGTCTGATAACTGAAATAAAATTATATGTTTGTTAAACATTATACACACACTCAGTTCTGTAAAAGGTTAGATTATACAATGACAGCCAAGTTTCATAATCTAGCATAATAATAATCTATCATGAGCATGACACACCTGTGCTAGTTTTAGGCATTAAAAAAAACATGAGTTACTAGAATCAAAGTGAAAAGTGTTCAATTAAGCTGTTTGAACTCTCTCAGTAATCTTTTACCACAAATATTAAATTCTTATTAGTATATGTATATAAATTAGCATGTCAACTTTAAAAATACAATACATTAGTAAGCTTGTATCATAAGCAACTAATTCAAATGCTTTAACATAGTTTATTGTGGTCACAAGTGTATGTTGCAATACTTTTTGGAGTTTACTCCTTAGGAGTCGATTTTTATATAAGGCACCCGATTTTATATAAGTATGCAAATAATATGAAGGGTGAAATTTAGTAATTGAATGACCTTGTTACGTTTTATGTGAATAATGTGTGTTAAAGAATGTGGAATGGCTGCCTGTATGCTTCAAGAGCTCTTGAACAGGATCCAGGTATACATCATGGACCTGGATCCTATTCTATAATAGATTGCAGACTTTCTCCCGTTCAATACAGAACTTGGATTCAATAAAAATGAATCTCATGTAAAGCAATATTGGTCAAATACCTGTGATGCATATTGTGCATTTTCAATAATTTTCTTTTGAAGCTCCTCCTGCAACAGTCCAGAGTCCAGAGGCAAAGGATTACTGGCTGCTGGTTGCTTGTCATCGCCTTTACTTTTAAATTTTTTTGTCAATTTCAACTAAAAGTGAAGCTTTAGATTATTCAAAAGATAATTTCTTCCCAATTATTATTGCATAATTACAGCATAAGACTTTTTAACTTTATAACTTACGTATAACATATTTGTAAATCAAAACTATGATAGAACTCAGTAAGAGGGCTTATTTGATTGATGGGGTTCAAAATTCTATCGGATCTCCAGCTCCTAGGGATATCATTGTAGCAATGCACAAGCCAGGAGTATGTAGTACTTCCATTCAAAAGTACCCCAACATCTGGCCTCAGGCGCCCTGCTCTAGGGAGGACCAGGACCATGTGATTTCTAGGTCCCACCAGCCTGACCAAGGCCTGGACTATCAGGCAATAGCTATTTCATATTACAAATATGTGACTGACCTACTAAAGCAATTCCCAAACCCATTCATTTAAACAATATCCCTTTTCTCCCATTATTTTCCCTTCTTATCTACCTTTTCTTGTAGTGACAGATTAAGAATACCGAGTGTCACCACCTCTATTCGTCCTGTAAGAGCTGACTAAGGGAGCAAACTATGCAGGAAAACAGCACTGCAAAGAGAGAAGGAAAGAGAAAAACTTGACCCAAACCCTATACCAACCAGTCTGGTCAGTGTTGTATAGAAGGCCAAAACCTCCTTTCTACGGAGGCGCCTATGTCCAGAGGTCTATATATACACGGATATGTCAACCCCATGGTGCCTTATGCTATCTACCTTCAACACATTCTTGAAACTAATAAGAGAAGAGAAATACTAATCAATGAAAATGTTGTCATCTACAATGTTGTTAATCAAAACTATTTAAATTACAGTTTGAGTATAATAATACTGACACATAGAACTTGCCAGTCAATAATTTTACATCACACATCAACAGTCTTTGGCGTATGGAGTAGTGGTTTAAGCGGTTGCCACGCCGATTACTACTGAGTGTACCTGAGTGTTGTGGGTTTGCTCCCATCATGGGACAACACTTTGTGTGATCCACAAATTATTGTCCTGAGTCTGGGTGTTCTATGTGTCCGTTTTATATATGTTTGTAAAGTTCCCCTTGACTCAGGATATAATCCAAGTGCGGGAGTTGTCTTTTTAATAAAAAAAGGAGGTTTTAGCCTACTATACCACGCTGGCCAGAGCGGTTGTTATAGAGTTTGTGTCAAGTTTTGCTTCTATTTGCAGTGCTGTTGTCCAGCGTAGTTTGCTCTCTTAGTCGCCTCATACGACACCCACGGGATGAATAGGGGTGGCGACACTCCATATTCTTAATTCGTTACTACGGATGTCAATAATTTATTTAAGTAATTGATGCAAAACATTTAACTTACAAGTACCTAGTGCTTCTAATAACAACCTACTGTATAATTGTGTTATTATACTCTCTCAAATAGTATAAAAAAAGAATTTGAGGCTTGTCCTGTTATCACTTATGTACCTAACATAAAGATAAGTGACTGCAAAATAATGTACACAGATATTTGCATGACTGTGATTCTCAAATTGTGCTCGATTCAAAGTGCTACTGACCTGCAACGCATCGAGTTCATCCTGAAGGACGGACACGCGCCGTGTCAACTGCTGGTTCCTGAACGTTAGAGAATCTATCTCCAATTCTCCTTTACGTAACGACTTCTCTTTATCTTTCAACGTATCTCGCAACTCGTTTGACTTCGCTTGCTCATCCAACACCCCCTTTTTTAGCACCTTAACATGCACTCGTAGCTGTAAGAACGGAAACAATGAATTCACTAAATTGCCGACCGATTCACCGCATCACTGATAATATAATACACACTTTAGAATATTCAGATGCCAATTTCTGGTATTTAGCTTGTATATCACCCGAAGGCAGCCCCTCCATTATCGATTTTCAGGTGGTCATAACTGTAAATTCTGATCTTGAACTGTTTATTTGTTGTGTGGAGCACGAACACCCACTATCCACTTTCGTGAATCGTGAATGACGTATGGTGATACTATAGATTATATTCAATAAAATGTCATGTGTCAAATTGAAAATAGTTATTATTAGTCGATTGTGTGAAGAAAGACAAAGAAGAAAAAATAACTCATCTTAGTTTCAATAGCGCATTGCACTAATGGGGGAATTCAGTTTATTTTAAAATTTAACACTTTGAATCAAAATATATCAAACAAGAAACTTTCGAGGGTCTTTTAAAAATAAAAATTTAAAAATACAATCCTCTAACCCAAAAAAACGAGGGAAATCATTTTTTAGGCTACCAACATTCTCTCTGTTGATGTGTCGTGATTGTCCAATATAAAATATCAATATTTTGGAAATTTATGAAAGAAAAGCTGTAATTTCTAACATACTAAACATATTTATAAACTACAAATTATATTTCATCTTTCAATGGTACGGTCATGGACGATAGGTACGTTGTTTGGTATTTTTTTACAACATTGTATTGCAACAGGTAAAACTAAGTTGGAACAAAGTAAATTATGACTAAACTAAGCGGTATTTTGCAGGAATATGGAATCAGGCTGTTCTCATTACAATGACGTTGAAAGCGATCACTCGAAGTGTATAATTCACGTTGATATAGATTGTTTCTACGCGCAAGTTGAGATGGTTCGAAACCCTGAATTGCGGTCGGTTCCGCTCGGCATACAACAGAAAAACATAATCGTAACAAGCAACTATGAAGCCAGGAAGTACGGGGTGCAGAAGTGTATGTTAGTTACTGATGCATTTAAAGTTTGCCCTAATTTGAAACTTGTAAATGGTGAGGATTTGCACAACTATAGAACAGCTTCTAACAAGGTTTTTGTTGTATTACAAAGTTGGAAATGTCCGGTGGAGAAATTGGGTATGGACGAAAATTTTATTGATGTCACAAATTTAGTACAAGAAAAGTTAAAAACTACAAATAATACTAATGTTAATTTAGCTGGTCAAACTTACAAAGAACCATCAATGGATTGCCCTTGCGGCTGTCACACAAGACTGAGGATATCATCACAAATAGCCAGTGAAATGAGAAAGAAAATATATGATGATTTAAGTTTTACCACTTGTGCAGGTATAGCACATAATAAGTTATTAGCAAAACTAATATGTCCCTATAACAAACCTAACAACCAAACTACCATATATCCAGAACATGGGACCAGTTTCATGTCTACTTTACAAAGTGTTCGATCCATTCCAAGTATTGGTCCTAAGATGACTGAAACACTAATATCACAAAACATTATTACTGTGAGTGACCTCCAAGAGGTCTCTGTAGATGTATTAAAAAAGCATTTTAGTAGTGATATGGCTGTAAGATTGAAGGGCTTAAGTTTAGGTGAAGATAATACTCCGGTGAAACAGACTGGCAAGCCTCAAAGCATAGGTCTAGAAGACAGTTTTAAAATAGTCAGTGTGAAGAGTGAAGTAGAGGATAAATTCTCAGCATTGCTCCAGAGGCTGTTGGTGCTGGTGAGGGAGGATGGTCGCATTCCAGTTTCATTAAGAGTTACACTTAGGAAGAAAGATGCCAAACGACTCAGTAGTCACAGAGAATCAAGGCAAAGCCAAGTTTCTCCCTCAATTTTTATACTGAGCAATGGCAGTCTAACAGTTACTGAGGCTGGTCAGCAAAAACTAATGAACATAATAATGAGATTATTTAATAAACTTATTGATCTGTCCAAACCGTTCCACTTAACATTAGTGGGATTGGCATTCACAAAGTTCCAAGAGCGCATGACTGGCAGGGGTTCAATAGTGAACTATTTGATGAATGATATTTCCGTCCAATCTGTGCTTAATTTGCAAAATGAATGTGATACATCGGCCACGTCTATGGACTACTCGGCTGTGTCGCCGAGCAGTAGCACTACGACTGATCTCTCAGACGCTGAAGTTGAGCCGTCGCCAAAAAAACCCAAAAAAGTTACATGGATAGCGAAAAGGCGATGTTTGTCCAAAGAGGAAGTGGCATCTCCTAGTAAATTAAAAGTTGGTGAACTTAGATTAAACTCAAAGGAGCTAGAGAAGGTATCAGAGTTAAGACTGAATTCCCGTGATCGATCACTGACACCTCGTGCGAGTCCCGCTAAAGATAACATGTCTGACACATCAGATAATATGAAGGAATGTGAGGAGCGCAACTGTGACGACTGCCCTAGTTACGTCGACAAAGAGGTGTTCAGTGCACTGCCAGACGAAATGCAGAAGGAACTAAAAGCTATGTGGAAAAACCCCTCTGGCTCCGGGGTGCCCAGGAGTAGTCCAAGAACCACGAACAAACCTAAACCGAACACAATTATGAAATATTTTGTTCCACACAAATAGTATTAGTAAGATTTTATCTTGTTAATTATTTTAAGTGATAAGTGAATGGTTTCTATTTTTTCAAATCATACAATTTTTATTCAGCTGATCAAATACATGTTTATGTTAAAAAATAAATATCTTTTATTACATATTTCTATCTATCTACATGCTACAGGTTAATTAACAAAAATAACTTTTAGAATACAACTGGGCATATCATTTAATATCTATATTTTTTACAGCTTCGGTTACCATACTTGATAATTCAGAGAACTTGTTAACACTATTTGCATCGAGGCTGAGCGTGTTTGCTAGATTGCCATATGAGATGACGTCGACGTTCAGTTGCAGCCTGATCTTGTCTCCGTCAGTTGCTCCTGCATTGTCGTTATTCTGCGGCGACCTCATTTCTCGGATTTGCTTCAGTCTTCTTAAGGAGTCCTCAGTTTTTTGTACAGAGGTCAAAACATCTTCAACATACTTGTAGTATCTGAAACACAAAAGTTTCTATTTATAGTACTACTACCTAAAGAGTGTGCAAATTACATATAACATGGTCATCGTGGTTTAACTGGTTTGCATCCTGGATAAGGGTCAGACAATACTTACGAAACAGTCATCGTGTTGAACAGTACTTCGAAAATTCCTCTAATAAATGCATTGTCCAACCGTTTAGAAGCTTCCTGATTAAACTCCTTCAAAGCGTTTGATATAACATCTATGTATGTACATGGTTTAGTAGGAACACTTCGATTAGTTTTTCTGTACAGTCTGGGAATATCACTAACTTGCTTCAACTGTACGTTGAAATTATTATAGAGTTCATTGACTATGCATTCTCGCACTTTCTCTTTTGTCCCTTCTAATGCTTGCTCTGAATATTTCAGACTTTGAATTAGTAGGATTTGGTTTTCAATGTTAATCTTAGTTTTTACATGATCCAAAAGTTGAGGTAATTTCTGGAGGAGAGTTTTTACGTCAACATAAATGCTAATACTGTTGTCGATTAAGGTTTTGTCCACTATTGTTATATCAAGCTTGTGTGATGATTTCTGAAATAAAAATTAAGCTGGTTACTTATTGGCTGTTATTTCAAGGTGCAATTCTGCTCCCTTTTTTCTTTGAAATACATTCATATTATACTAGCTTTTGCTTTCCATAATAAATCTATAAACATGTATACGTAAGCCATGTTACGTAATAAATATTTACAACATATTTTAATTGCGTATAGTTACAACTTACAATAACTATTATGTAATCGCTCTAATTCCCATTTGCATACGTAAATAGTTTATCATTGTTTTATAATCTAAAAATAAAAATTCTGCACAAATTGGAGGACTTTGTCTCAACTCTATAGAAAACCACAAAAATTAACTATTTTTTTTTTCCTCTATTAACGCAAATTGTAATCAGGGGACCAATTGCAACGCCGAACTCGCTCGCTGTTAAGAGCGAGTTGGTCCCCAGGCGAGCCAAATAATATTGTTCCATAACTCCGTGACAGTGAGAGAATAATAATGAATTCATAGAAATAAATACATTTTATAATAGAAACGCACGTCGAATAATATCAACGAACATGTCTAAATACAATTTTCTAAAATTTTCTTTGCTAATTATATAGCTATACTAGTACCAGTATGGTACGACAGTGAACGAATATAGGCAAATTTTAATTGGCTATATCATCAAATGCAAACAGAAGGTCAATTTTCGTAATAACAATTCGTTGAAAATTCAGGTCCAATCTACTCTCGATCCCTTTAATTATGTTCCCATTTTGAATGATCATTTACAAGTATCCATTACCAGTGCCATAAATTTAGATTTCATAATCCTTATCAATATAGTAAAATATTATTATACACAGTACCATTTTTATAAACAGTTCAACATTATTTTTCGAACAAACCCTCCCACGGGGTTTAAGAATACCGGAGCCTATTCCTGATTCTGGGAGGTGGAGATTCAAAAGGCGGCAATCTATTTGTGACTCTTGATTTGCCAGGGTCCACATTCGTGTGGTGACTGAATATAAATACTAAATATGACTGATAATAATGAATATATATGACTAAATATAAAAAACAAATTACCTGTGTACAATACGCGTTAGCCCATATTGCGTAACGCGATAACATTTGTAGCGTTAGCTTCCAGAATTTGTGACCCAAAGCCTCTATGAAGACTCCGTCCGACCAACACTCTTGAACTGCACTCCAACATTTCTGTGTCTCCCGCAAAACAAAATCGTTTTCATTGTCCGCTGTAGGGCTCTTTTGTAACGCCGCCTCGTAACTTCCTGTGATTGTTGTTGAATTTTATAAACACAGATTTTTGAAATTTTTAAACTGAAAAGAAACATACCCATACTATGTGACTCATTTAGGGTGGAAGGGGGGTTCTCAATATACCACTCTTTGTCACAGGGGAGGGCTTACGTTTTCATCAGGTAGTCGTAACCGCTTAAGGAAATTTAGCGCATATTCGAGCTATTTTCAAATATGGCAAATGCTATGTTAGTATTGAGCGCAATTTTATTTTGTTTGAAAAAAAATGATTTAAAACCATAATTATGGATTACTACGTGAAAACTAGAGGGGGAAGCGAGCGTATTGGCACACACGAAGAGGTGTCACAGAGGGGGGGAAGGGGAAATGGGTCATGTAGAATGGGTATGTTCCAGAAAAATAGGAACACATTTTAATAGAATAAGGACCTATCTAAAATGTATACATTCTGTAACATCCACATGCAGAGCAATTAATTTCATAATATTGACAGATTTTGTGATTATTTACAGAACCATTTCTAGGTATACTCTACTATATATCTACATATATTATACTATTATTAACAGGCTCTTATTTTTTTTTGTTTTTCTTACACATCTCACACACAGCTGTCTCATCCCAAACTAGGCAGAGCCTGTGCTATGGTAACCAGACTGCTGATAATCATACTTATATATTTTAAAATGCATACATGTTTTAGATAAATTACACCCAGACACAGAACAAATGACCTTGTCATCACACAATATTTGTCCTGGGTGGGAATCAAACCCACGACGTCCAGCTTAGCAGTCAGGGTAACTAACCACTAGACCAAGAGGCCCGAAAAAGTGTGGGGTACTTTTCAAGATATTTTATAATATAATAACTTAACTTTTTCCTATTTCTGTCATTAATATATTTTTACAACAATGAGATCTAGCATTTTTAGCTGCATTTTTACGATAAAATGATTTTCTTTTTTAAAAAAATATTTGTTACTTTTTCGGCTAGTTACAAAAGCGTGTTTTTTAAGTTTTTCAAACTACAATTTATTTTAGGACCCATACCATACATACAAAACTTTTTACAAACTAAACCTATGTTGGATTTTGATTAAAAAATGTATAATTTTTTATAATTTTAATATTGCCTAAATAATAATAAACAAATCATACAAACATACCTGCAATTTCTTGAAAGCGTATCTGGAAATAGACGGGCAAATTCCACCGCCTTTGAAAACTTTTATATTCTGATGTTTCATGTAATAATTTTATATCTTCTGCTGTACAATATTGTTCCAGTTTCTTTATAAACTGTGTACTTTCACTATACCTCCTGTAAAATATTTGTGGGTTGCCAGGAGCAAAAATTGATGCAAGATTGACCTCTAACCTACTCTCAACCTCGCACCAAAAACTGTTTACTAAAAACCTATATTTCTTAACAAGAAAAATTAGTTTGGAATGTTGTGTTACTATTAAAAGTAACTTTAGTTTTGTGTCCAATAGAGACAATATTCTTTCATAAATTCCCTGCAGACCATTTCTGCTCTTCTGTAAACCTGGTTCATTAATTATTTCTTGTAAAAGAGGAGCAACCGCTTGTTTCCGTATTAGCGATTCGGTTTCTGACACACGGTCCAAAGATGCAAGTGTTATAATAGTTTTTAAGAGGTTTTCCTCATCACCATCATTCCAAAATTGAAAGAGTAAGTCATTGAGGGTTTGTATTAATTGTTCCTCTACTTCACCAAACTGTAGTTTATGCTCTGGCTTTATTAAACTTTCACATTTTGCAATTGAAAACTTCAACTGATTGTATTGCATTGCTGCACGGTCTGCTAAAGTCACTCGTTCATAGTTTTTCTTATCTGAAATATTTTTCAGTACACTTGTCAATGTTTTCAAACAATTGATTGTCTGACTATACTGTTTTAATAGTTGTTTTTTCTTCTGTAGACTGTGTCTTTGGTTTAACCACATTGATAATTCCTTCATAGAATCTTCTAAACAGTGTTTTACATTCTAGAAAAAAATAATAGTTTACAGTACTTTTTAACACTATACACACTTATCTGCATACCATTTAGTGATAAGACTCATTAATATTTTCATTTCATTACTGGTTACTCATAAAATTAATTGAAAATCAACTTACAAGGACTTCATCATTCAATTGTCCCAGGGGCACCTGAATTTTGACTATTGCCTTGTCGAAACCAATGAGGGTAGCACACAGATTGACGAAATTGGCGTAATCCTTGTTTATGAGCTCTATCATAGCCAGTCTTAGGACTTTTAAGTACACCCCCAAGTCATCCCGCATAGCTTCCAACGATGCTACATTTTGATGCTCTGCTAAAAAGCTATCCACGGAGAAATTCGTCTGAAATCATTATTAGCTATGACACAAAGATTTAAAGCGCAAATAAACTGTGGAAGTAGAGTTATTTCTTGGAAATCACTGTAAATACCTTAACGAAATCATTTCGATCAAAGCACAGCCCTCTGGGGGCTGGCGGCAGTGTAAACTCCATGATATTATTATCCATACTAACGTATCACTATCATTGTATTATGAATGCACCATTATTAGGAGGAATTGTTAATAAATGTTTAAATTATCTATTTAAATAACTACTCTCTTCGGCAATCATCTTGACACTTGTTTCCACTGACGTAAGCCTGACACATCACACGTCAATGTTCTCGTTCGAATACACAACTTCATAGGGCCATTTAAAACATGAAATCAAGAAATAAACTAGATTTGAATGCATCATTACATTCGTTACCTTTATCAAAGTAACTTTTAAATAGGATTAGGATAAGTAAATTTAGATATTACCTGTTTATCTGATGTATGAATATACACATGATTGAAATTTTGTGACTTGATTCGTAATGTATAATTGATATTTAAACCACTTTACCCAAGCTTCCTCAATATTCGAATACTTTGTTGTTCTGGCCCATTTAATCAAAAGAATGCTGTATTAAAAAGGTTTGAATGTTTTCCCTGTCTTTCCAAATAGTTGAAATTGTCGAGTGTGATACACCATATTTTTTTGCAATTTTTTTATTCAATTTTTCTCGATATTAATTTGTTTTCTTTTTCCTTGTGACATGTTAAAAGTTTCACAAATAACTCGACTATATGTTTTGGTGCGTCTATTGTACAAATAGGTAACGAACTGACTGAAGAGATATGAAGAAGCGGGCTTTGCTTATGCCCCAGATGTGGATACCTATTCAAATTGTTTACAATACAGCTGGTCGTTCTAACAGATATAAGTATCCGAAGATATTCGTTAATTGTAGTCGCTTAATGAAGTATGTCGTAATAAGCAATGTCATGAAAAACAATGTTTCTAATAAGACGGTCATATAGCATTCAGCCGGGACTTTTGATATTGGTAAATATAACCGGTATGTTGCTCTAAAGTCTAAACGATGTCGTCATCAACGGTTTTAACTATTTCCTTTAGACAAATTACACCCAGACAGAACAAACGATCGTGCTCATCAGACAAATATTTGTCCTGGGTGTGAATTGAACCCACGACCTTCGACTTAGCAGTCAGAGTCAACAACCACTAAATCAATACGAGTAGATATTAGTCGTTTACGGAAGATAGGTATAAATGAAACACTGACAAAGTGATGACTAAATAATAGTGATGTCTGGATTATGGTGATGTATGCTATTATGACCTGAATGCAGATCAACTCAATAAATATGACAGCCTTCTGAATAACTGCATTCCATTCGTCTCACTCTGGCTCACTTTTCGTCAGCGGCGTCAGCTAGGCGCCCTCAACACCCTCTACTCTATTCTCAACTCGGCCATTTCCCAATCCTACCTGACATTTTCATTCCAATATCTGTGTTCTAACCACGCTAGAATCCTCCGTTCATCAAACAATCCTCTTCTTCTATGCTCCACTCATACTACTGCTTGTGTCCTCTCCTCGTTCCTAATCCAATCCGTGCTCCTCTAGAAATCAGGATGGCACCCAGCCGCCTATCATTTGAGATGAAAGTTCGAGCTCGCGTTCTGGACACCCTTGCAGATTCATAACAACCTTAAAGCTTTATAAATTATCAATATGTAGGTTTATGGATATAAGTAACTAGGTAAGTATTTATGTATGTGTATGTATTTGGTACGTTTGTATGTATGCATTTATCTCAGTGTTTCTGTCTAACTTCTCAATAATTTTCTCATACTTTACATACTTATCAATCTCTAGTGCGCCTAGTCACACATTTCAGCACTACCCTAAGGTAGACTAGGAGAAAATGCCTGTGGCATTAAGTCCGCCATTGTACAACCCACACTTGTGCATAAAGTAATAAAATAAAATAAATAAATGTTTTATTATTCCGACTTTATTCTCTTTAGCTAGCGTAGATGTTATCTATAGGTATACTATCTAATTATTAAGTGCATTAAATAATGAGTCCTTATCAACGCTTCACTTTGTCTGATTCAGCACTGCAAAGTAGGAGTAAGACATCCTGAGTATCTGAAATATAAAAGTAAGTCGATATATGATAGTATGTCTGTTGGAAAAATAACCAACAAATATCAGTTTCAAGTTGAATGTCAATTTTTTTTAAATGTTCTCTATCCATACTTTTACAAAAAGTACTTTACAAGCATGCATGATAAGCTTGAAATCGTTTGGTGCAAAATACTTTTAAAAATAGTGATCGATGAATATAACTTTGTAAGAACTTTAGAGGTTAAAGTAAATAATAATCTTACAGCAACAAAACTTTGTCTAGATAGCCTCAAATAGAGCCCGGCGCGCAACACTAGAGGGCGGCTCAGGCGCATCATGGCGAAGTACAAGTCCCGCTTAAACTTTAGGTTTTGTTCGTACCATACGCACTTGTACATAACTGTGTGGAGGTCTTCGCTCTGAAAAATAAAAAAAACTCATTAAATGCATGAGCAAGTCAATATCGAGCCAAAGTAAAAATGTGATTTAACAAAATGATGTGGTATGTCGCAGTCATTACCTAATGTTATGCCGATTAAATGCAGATTTATATCCACTAGATTCACCCAGGTGAACAAAGGCGACTTTTTTATTAATCTTATGTACTTTTATCACCCTCATAAAGCATGACAGTTAAAACTTTCAATTTTACAGAAAGTGGGGTCGCTATTAGTTATTAATAATTATATGTAGTATATTACCTATACAAAACTTGTCACAAACCCTATACCAACCCGTCTGGCCAGCGTGGTATAGTAGGCCAAAACCTCCTTTCTGAGGAGAGGCCTATGTTCAGCAGTGGAATATTACAGGCTGTTGATGTGATGTGATGTGTGTATGTTGAAAGACAATATCAATCAATCAAACAATCAATACTAGTTAAATTAATACTTAATTAAATTACTATTAATAGTAACTTATTATAATGTCCACAAATTGTGTGATGAACATTTAGCTGATTTAAATATTAAGTTGTCTGTGATTTTGAAAACCTTTATTATTATGCTTTATGTGGAATATAAAAGTACACAAGATTGATAAAAAAGTCCCCTTTGTTCACCTGGGTGAATAAATTTCAAGGTCGTTTTCGAAGTTTTATCTGGGTGATATCATCTAGGTGAAATTTTTCCGAGGTGAAATAAGGATACTAAAAAATCTACTTCATTCACCCGGGTGATATCACTTAGGTAAACATAGTGGAATAAACCTTTTACACAACTTGTCAGAATGTAAATAAATCTGACTGCCTACATTACTACGCTATAGGTACTTACTGTGGCCGTAAGCTCGTGCCCACACCAACAACACACAAATAATTGACTGACCATCACCGACAGGTATGTCAGTATCGAGAAAAACTGAACACTGCGCCAATCCAACTGGTGAAATAAAACTTATTGAGTTAATTATTTTTATGTGTATGTTAATGTTAGAGAAGGCTTTTTTACTCAAATTACTTACAACTATAATTCTCAACGCTGACATACAGATGATCCCAACGCTACCAACGAGTTGGAACATTAAGTACGAATGGTAAGTATTCTCCACGAGATCCGTAAACCTGCAACATTTTAATTACTTTATTGTTTTTTTGTTTTGTTTTAAAAAGACAACTCCCGCACTAGGAATAAATCCTGTGTCGCGGGGGACTTTACAAACATACATGAAACGGACACAAAGTACACCCAGACTCAGAACAACAATTTGTGGATCACACAAAGTGTTGTTCCATGTGGGGTTTGAACCCACAACACTCGGTGTAATAGGAAGCGGCGTGGCGACCGCTTAAACCACTACGCCATCCGTGCAGTCGAATATTGATATGGCCTCGTAAATTTCATTACATAATTTTGTTGTAAGTCCCATAAAACTAACTGATTCTTGAAAGGTGTCCTATAGTTAGTGGTGGTTTATTAAGTACGTGAGACAAAAGTTTTAAATATCTCTGCCCGCCCTTTTGGGAATAAAGTACCATCAAAAATAATAAAATAGGTATGAAAATATACCATATCATACCACTGACACGCTATTGAGATGCCATCGAGTGGTCATTGGCATCGGTATAAATATCGGTAGTTGAAAATATATTACGTTGTTTGAGGAAATGATTTATTTATTTTTATTATAATAAATTTGTCCGTGTAGTGACGGATTAAGAATACGGAATGTCACTACCCCAATTCATCCCGTGGGTGTCGTAAGAACCGACTAAGGGCGCAAAACAACGCAGGACACTAGCACTGCAAAAAGACGGAAAACTTGACACAAACCCTATACCAACCCGCCTGGCCAGCGTGGTATAGTAGGCCAAAACCTTCTTTCTAAGGAGAGGCCTATGTCCAGCAGTGGACTATTAAAGGCTGTTGATGTGATGTGATGTGTGATAATAAATTATTAAAATAAATAAATAAATTAAAATAAATTATTAAAAACATAAAATTATAAAAAAAGAAATAAAAAACTTATTAAAATAAAAATATTATTAAAAATTATTAAAATGAAATTATTTTTTTTTTTTCAGGTCGTAGTAACTGCGTGAAGGAGTGACTGTAGTGGAACCGAGTGTGGATGTGATATTTTTATACATCTAGATGATCGATCTCATTATCGAATCGTTTAGAACAAGACAATTGGCTAAATAACACTTACTTAACTACAGCCTGATGATGTTTGATGCAGTCGACGAGCTTCTCATAATTTTTGGATTGGATTTCTTCAGCTTCACTTCGTTGTCTATCATACACTGGAGTTATCTAGTAGAATCAAAATATCACATCATATAAACTAAAATTTATAATATGCTGCACAAGACAATAAGTCAAAAGTTAATTTATTTCTATAATTAATTTCTACAGAATGATTGGAGATTTTAAGTCACTCAATAAATGTGTAGGGGCAAGCCCCGAGTTAGAAAGAAACGAACATCAAAGCTACTAAAAAAAAGCATCCAAAATTATTTGAGGTCTACCTACGCAATGAGTTTTCTCCCACCACTCTCCTCTACTATCACTCGGCAGTTAACTGCTTACTCCCTTTCTATTCATATCTACTTTTACGTAGTAAATCCATCTCTTTGGTCTCCCTCTACTCCTGTATCTTTCAACTTCCATACATAAAACTTGCATCAGTACTTTTTGCTCAACTCAGCTTATACCAGGATAACTTGTTGTTTCTTAACTTTTCATGCACTGGCGCTACTTTCAGCCTTCCTCTAATGTATTAATTTCTCACCTTGACCATTCTAGTCACACCACACATCCAACTTAACATTCTTATTCTGATCCAAGCATCCAAAATCCAAACATATAGAAATAATCCAACTGCTCTACGTAATCGAGCTAAACTACATTTAACTACATATTTCATGACAAACCAATATATTCAAAATATAATAAAGGCTAATTTTCTTATGGATTAGATCAATAAATTACGCTCATGATCTTTTCCTTGATGATATCCAACTGTGCACATCCGAAGATAACTGCGGAGAAGGTGACGCTGTCTACTCCAAAATATATATAGGCACTGATGCAGATAGTTATTAGTTGAAAAGCGTAGCCGATGTAGTACTGGACAGCTATTTCCGGGTTAACTGGCATCCTGAAAATTATATATTTTTGTAACCTACTTACTTGTATCTTTAATTTAAGGCTTTGGTTTGAGTCAGAATTGAAGTAATGGCTTTGCAATACTTAAAAAGTTTTATATTAAATTATACTACTTACTTCTGCGAAATAAACACTGTAAATATTTTTATATGCTCTTTTGTACCTTCGATAAAACTTATAATTTAAAAAACTCAACAAACTTAGACGGCATATATTTTTAATTTTTATAAAACAGATCGAAAAATTCATGGAAGATATCTAAATCAATTGATATGAACTTGTTTATTAACAAATTTAAAGCTCAATGAAACAGTGACATACGTGTTTTCCAGCATAAATCGTTCAAAACATCCTATACCTACATATATTTATAATACACCTGTTTGACCCACCACATATCAAATGGAAAATTGCGTTCAGCATCGTCGAACATCGGCTTCAGCGCCCACATTCCGCAAGTCAATTGAGAGCTGATCATGAAGGCTAACAAAAGTCTTTTGATGCGGGCTGCCTGAAATTTTAATATCCTATCCCACAGTCACTTGTAAGACTTTGAAAACCTTCAATTAATGAAGCCGGAGTACCAGCCAACAGGTGCATTTCAGAACTCGCTATTAACTTTGGCAAACTCTTAACGTTTTAAAGACTCCTCAAATATTGTCTTAATAATTGCAGAGAAATTCGTGATTTCAAGAACGAAAATTATATTTTGATGCAAACAAATTGCACTAAAAAATTAAGCAATTAGTGAGAGATTGTTGATGTTATTGAAACTTTCGTTAAGTATTTAATATTAAAGATGTTGATAAAATTTCCGGACTATTTCGAATCGAAGAGCCTAATAGTAATTATTACACAGAAATAGTATTGATCAGAAATGCTGCACACATTCCTTATCAATAGTACAATCAAGATTCTTTTTATTAAAATGCATAGACTAATTTTTGTTTATTTTCTTAAGTTATTGGCTTTCGTTCGTAAAATACAATCCTATTTCTTTCTAACATTTAGATTCTGTGCAGGTACTCCCGGCTTTTTCTTTTAAAAGAACACATACTTTTCATGTATAGAATTCTTGGGTTGTAAAATATCTTCATTCATAATTCTCAGCAATTCCTTCAGCATGTTTATATTAATCTGAAAAACGGTCACTTTGAAACAGAGACAAGCCTGCGTAAAGAGCAAATACGAAGCCTGCGATACAGATTCCAGATCCCCCCACACTTGAATTATGTAAATAACTTGAAAAATGAGAAATAAATACTGCAATGTTATCATAAAAACTCTGTAAGCTTTCAGAAAATTTGATTCGTTTTCCGATGGTACCCATACACCAAGACCTTTCATCACAAATTTGGCTCTATTTAAATAAAGATCCTCCGCCGACATCATGTCGAAAGTTCCAAGACATCTGAAACTGGTATTTGGTTTCAATCAATGAAACACCATATCTCATACGCCCACTTAGTGAAATGAAGCAGTAATTATGTGAAATAACCGGTTGGTAGTGCCCAATTTGATGAACAATTTTGCTGTGATTCTACAATAACACTTTATTATATTGATTAGTGTACAAGACGATATTAAAGGCTTGATGAGTGGTGTGAAGACGGATTTTTAGTCTCTTTTAAGCTAATATTTTAAATCAATGCTCATTTGTTGACAATTTTATGAGTTCATCTGATGACATGCACTTTACATGATGTCAGGAATACAGAATAGGAGGTAGGATACTTTTCTGGAGGGATGGAAAACTACATATTTTAAAAGCGTAGACGAAAACCCTAGGTAGCAGCTGTAAAACGGTTGCAAAAACTGTATTATTCATAGTTATAGATAGCTATATATAGATTGGTAAGCCTATCATACAATCTGACGACTTTATCTTTTCTTTAGCTTGCTTTGCTTTAGCTTTTCTTTGACCTTTAGCTGAACTAGTAACAAAGTACCTAGACGGGAACTTTAGAAAACAATTTATAAGTACAGTCATCACGAAAATAAATATACCTAAACACACACGCCGCGCATAATTTTTCGTCAAGTAAAATAATACCAGGGCTATTAGCATGGCATGCTCATGTCGACTGATGCATGCTCGGGTCGATCCAACCTTCAATTAGCCTAGCGGCTGTAGCCTAGCGGCTGTAGCCTAGCGGCTGTAGCCTAGTGGTTAAGGCATTGGACTTGCGATCAACAGGTCGTTTGATCGAATCCTGACTAGTACGCTACCGACGTGAACCCACTCTTAACACAAGCAATTTAAATAACAATATTTTGGCGTAATGGCTATACACTTCATAATACAACTTTACGAGTAAAGTAAAACATTCACTCTTTTAGGCTGACTGTACTGAATATAACTTTGATACGGGTGTGCAATTTAGGTAATAACCAGATTGTCTAATAGCCTAATAGGTTTAATAGGTTGTACCACAAACAATGGGTTGACAAGTTGTATTGCGAAGTTATTAACAGTAATTTCATTCCCATTATGTCCACTTATACACGGAGCTTATTAACGATACCTTACATCCAATTGTCGACATCAACATGATGTTTGATTTTTTTCTCAATAAATGTTTTTTTTTTTAAATCGAAAATATTGATATTCTTTCACGTTCACTATCATAACATCATCTGGTCCCAAACTAAGCAGAGCTTGTATTATGAGTACCAACTAGACAACTGATATTATAAAAACATATATACTTTTTTTGTAAATGTAAATGTATTTACAAAAAAATATGAAGTATATGTATTTGTATTTACATTATATACATACGAGTATATATATTTCATATCTATACAGATTATGGGACGTGAAATAGTATTCGTAGGCGGCAATACTTACTATCCGTTGATCCGACTGCCGGTTAATTAGCGGCGGTAGCCTAGTGGTTAAGGCGTTGGACTTGCTATTAAGAGGTCGTGGGTTCAAATCCTGACCGATGTGAACCCACTCCTAACACAAGCAATTTAGCTTGCTAAATGGGTGAAGAGAATACTAGTAATTTCGGTTGATATAAGACCTTCACAAAAAAACAAAATAGTTTCATAAAAATGCAATGATAAGAAAGTTTCGTCTGTGTAGTAAATAAAACTTTAGACTTTTAGTTCTATGTTACATTTTAGGTGTAATCTCTTATTGTAGCTATTGCTATTCAACTTCAAATCTTATTTAGTATAAAATGAACTCGCTTTTTGTTCTTGTACGCTTAGATCTTTCGAATTTCACAACGGATTTTAATGCGGGTTTTATCAATAGATAAAGTGATTCAAGAGGAAGGTTTATATGCATAATACATGCATATTATGGTGGAGAAAATCTGAGGATTTCAAAGATTTGGAAGGTGAAGTCGGAAAAATATGTGTTCGTGCGCTCACATTGCAAACGCTGGCTAAACCTTACAAGATAGATCAAAATAATGAATTACGGAATTGCATATCTTTAAAAGATCTACAAAATAGTAAGCGAAGGTATATGTTTATCTTCTAAGGATAACCCATAGCAACCATTATTATCTTTACATAGTACAAAAAAGGGTTATTTACGCAGCTATTTAAAACAATACAGTACTATTCCTGTTTCAATTTAATATGCTAGAAAGATTATGTATTTAGTGTAGATCAAAATTACTCTTATGATAATAACGAATATCTTAGGAGATATAACAGATTTAAAATGCGACAGCAGAGCGACCGTCGAGCCGTACGTCCGACCCAGGTGGCAGCGGCCGGTGGACGCGGGGCGTGCCTATAAATTTGTACATACCTAAAGATATCCTGTAGTATAGTCGTAGTATAATAATAATACTTAGATTATTAATAATAAGTCATCTAAGTAATAATAATTCCAACTCCTAAAATTTTCTTCTGATTAATATCGTTGCGGGTTCCAAGACATTTTAATTTTTTCCTGGGACTTCCCGAGTGTCATAACTCGGTGTGTTCGTAGGTCACTTGATCCTGGTGTACAGGAGTTACAGTGGTGGGCGAGTGAGAGGGATTAGTCCCATTTAAAACAAAGTCATAATAATATAATTAATACTTCAAAATGACACTATATTAGTATCCCATTGCACCCGTGCGAAGCCTAGGCAGATCACTAGTAGGTAATATATTTAAGTATAATACACGCCAGCCCTTAAGTGAATAAATAAAGAATAAACCTTAGTTAGAAATACAGAATGTGCCAATTATCACATCATTAATATTGCGCAAATGAAGCACCATCAAACAGTCGTTTATAATGATTGCAACTTTATGTCACCGAGTATGCAAATATAAGCTGTGCGGATTAAAATACTTGATTATTACCGAGTATCAAAACCTTCGAAGGCTGTTTATGTTGACCAAGACCTTTTAGCATGTTGCCTATAAAAGATCTCTTTCTAAACGGAGCCAAATTCTTCATGAAACCTCTTGGTGTTTGGATACCATTGGAAAATGAATCTATTATAATGAAAACCCACAGAGTTTTCATGATATCGTTGCAATATTTATTTCTGATGTTACAAATGGTTTATCTTTTTCAAGTATGGGGAGATGTGGATGCTATGACGCAGGCCGCGTATTTGATTTTCACTCAAGGGTGTTCTGTTTTTAAGTTGACTGTTTTTCACTTCAATATGGGTATAGTGAAGGAAATACTGAGTATTGTGGGTGAAGATATTATGCAGCCAAAGAATTCTGTACAAGAGAGGTGTGTATTTTATGTTTTTATTTTTTAATGATTGCAGATTTGGGGGCAAACGAGCAAACGGGTCTACTGATAGTAAATTACTTTCGCCGCCAATGTACATTCAAGAGTCATAAGTTCGTTGCAGTCTTTTGAGCGACTCCTCCAGTCAACCTTTGAGTGATGCAGAGCTGTGTGTGGCAGGTGTATTATTGGAGCAGATGCGATAAATAATTTTTAATTGTTGTTTAAAATATTTTAATTTGCACAAATAATAAGTAACTATGTAATTGTGTGATTTAAATTTAAATATAAGACTTAATTTTATTAAATTATTTCGATTCTATTAAATACTCATTTAAGTAAACGATATTCAAACGCAGAATGATAACATATCATCAAAACGAATACTAGAATACCTAAGCAGTTCCTCTCTTCTAATACTCGTAGTGGTGTGGCCTACAGAGTGCATAATTGTTACCTATTTTTAAGCTTACCACCTGCAAATGTACATTACAGACGGCAATAAATTGAGACTGCAGAAGATCGCAGACTGCGATAAGGCCGCTCATTGTACCACTGTTCTTTTAATTTTATGTTTATATTGCATTGTATGTTTTCTATCCATGGTGTGCAATAAAGAGTACCTATCTATCTATCTAAATTGAAGTGTGGCCATTCGATGGTTCGCACTTCCATATTAGAATAATCAACCAACAACTTTAAATTACAGCTCCATATTTTACATAATCGATAATACGTACATACATAAGTACTCAGTGACTAATTATTCTCTGTTAGTATATTAAAAATGCAGGCCAAAAGGATCAAGAGGCTTATGTTGCCGTTTGCCATTGGCTCTCAAATGTGTACCATGTTGTTTGCAGTAAGGCCTTTGTTTGATGGTACTAAACGGACCTTCGGATATGATTTGTGGTATGTCAAACTAACTTTTCTCTCTCACTTTTCTTTTTTTTTTAATGAAACTACACGACGACATTTTTACATGTACATAAGTATATAGAAAAAGACAAGTAAAGTAAGACCTAAGTTCTGTTTTATGAAGGTCATTAACTTTTGTTTTTCGATTCACAGCTTCAAGTACGCCTTAATTACTATTTTGTTTGGATTCTACTTCTAGCTAATAAATATGAAGTCAATAAATAGTTACAAGAATTTAATAAATAATTACCATATAAATATATTGCTCAGGATGCCAGTGGACCCCAAGAAGTCCATCCAGTTCTGCATCGGCACTGCCTTTCAGCTAGTGACCATCTCCATGAGCGCTTTAATATATTTGGGAGTGGATAGTGTCACATTCTGTATCGCATTCTGCGGCTGCGCAGAGTTGGATATCGTCAAAGAAAAGATTTTGAACGTAATTTTCTTTCATTTATTTCGTGAGCAATACATAAAAAAAATAACAAATATTTCATTAATCAGATTATTATTCAGTGAAATATTAGTTTTCCTAGAGTCAGAAAAAAAACGATGTATTTAAAACTATAAAAAAACTATGTATTTGTCGTCAGCGAAGATGGGAGGGTCACGTATTAATTTTCCTAGCTGTAGATGCTGTAATTCGGTAGTAATAAACTATGCGCTTGGCTTGTAATGCCTTTAGAAAGATAGAGTTATAACCTAATTTTAATTACCTTCGAGTCTACCATGTCCCCGCTTTTATTTATTTTTCCCTAATTGAACAAGTTATCGTCTGCGATATTTCCGGATCGATACGATCTTCAAACCTTCAAGAAAACAGCGTACTCCTTCCTTAAAGGTCGGCAACGCGCTTGTGACTCCTGAGTTGCAGACGTTCATAGGCGGCAGTAGTCGCTTTCCATCAGGTGACTAGCCTGCTTGTTTGCCCTCTCTTCCATAAAAAAAACTCTTCTCTGGAATAATTTGCTGGACTGCACAGATGGCGTAGTGGTTTAAGCGGTCGCCACGCCGCTTCCTATTACGTCGAGTGTTGTGGGTTCAAACCCCACATGGGACAACACTTTGTGTGATCCACAAATTGTTGTTCTGAGTCTGGGTGTACTTTGTGTCCGTTTCATGGTTTCTTTGTTTCCGTAAATTTAGACAGTCTGGAGTATTTTAGTTTTTAACAACTTTAGCAAAAAAACCTTTGTCTTGATGGGATTGATAATATTGACTACTTTTGATATAGCTAACTATTATAAATATATAACTAAATTTATTGACTCTGGTTTTTATTAGTATGTATTGTTTAGAAAGTATTAGTTTAATCTGTTTAAGATAGCATAAATGCCTTAGGGTTGTTGATTTAATTTTTGCCTTTGTTAGTAACGTGTTTTGCTACATCTTAAAATTCTTGTAGATAACTCCAGTGTTTAATAAAAGTGGAGAGTCAACATCAGTTGAAGAAATACTATTAACGAATTACAAGAAACTGGTAGACTGCGTGAAACATCATCAGACTATAGTTAGGTAAGTTACACTCCGTCAATTGTCCGTTGCTCTATGTCCCTTAGTTTAAGTCACAGGAATTCCTGTCAAATCCTATTAATTCTTATGGTTTTGTCCTGTTTATACTCGAGGGTCTCGAACATTTATTTATTCATTAATTCATTTATTTATTTGTGTATTGATTTATGGCTGTTTACCAGCCGTAACATTGTTACTTAATCTAAGAAATTAGATGTGCTCGAATTTAAGGTAATGTACAATCGCTTTGAAGTAAACACAACATGTAGATATTTTCCCACACGTCCCATATTTTACACTAGCTGACCCGCGCAACTTCGTCTGCGTCTCTCAATAGTATTAATTTTTTTCCGTTTTTGAAACATTCTTCATTGGTGCTCCGCTCCTATTGGTCTTAGCGTGATGATATATAGCCTATAGCCTTCCTCGATAAATGGGCTAACTAACACTGAAAGAATTTTTCAAATCGGACCAGTAGTTCCTGAGATTAGCGCGTTCAAACAAACAAACAAACAAACAAACTCTTCAGCTTTATAATATTAGTATAGATGATATTATATATTAAACTTAACTCTTATGAATTAAGTGTTAATAAAAATGTGTATGAATATGAACTCTATCCGAATAAGAAAGTAAAATAGAAGCTGTATAATTATATGCAATAGAATCGTCATTATCTTCAACAGACTTTAATTGTCCACTGCTGGACATAGGTATCTCCTTAGAAAGAAAGTTTTGGCCTACTATACCACGCCGGCCAGTCCGTTTGGTAAAGGGTTTGTGTCAAGTTTGCCTTCTCTTTGCAGTGCTGTTGTCCCGCGTAGCTAGCTTTTTTAGTCGGCATGAAAAGCCTTCTTTTTCATTCTTCTTCTTTTCGCCATATTTTAGGGTGCGATCCATAATTGTTTTCAATCAAGTGCTTTCCATAAACGCTTAAATACATTTTTTTTTAAATCCTCTTATATTAATTATATAAGTTTTTTTTTTAAATTCCTGTTTTCGATTCATCTGTCACCAATTTTGATTCATAAATGTCTTAAGAATTTTTTGATTAAAATGTGTGCGTCAATTCAAAAATATTCTTTAGCATGTATAAATAATAAAAGTATGTTGAATAGAGCCAAAAGCGAAAAATATTTTTTGGCCATATACGAAGAACATCGCAGATGTACCCATAAATACCTTTTATTATACCATTTTATAACTGTTGCAAAAACTTTAGGTCACACAGTAGGTATTCCAAGTTTTGCTTCTGGGCGCCATATTTTTATCAAACCATTTTCTAAACATGACAACAATGCAATATAAAAAAAACAAAACAAATTACCAAATAAAAATATGATGTTTAGTAAGCACCAGAGTAGCTACCGTGTAAAGATCGTATGAATTGTATTAATATACAGTGATATTCTATGTTCTCATGTAAATAAGTTATTTTGTCTTTTTGACAATCAATTCTTTAAACCTTAACCTTATTGGTACTTTTTCAGACTTATAAATCACTTGGAAAATGCCTTTCATTCATATTTGTTGTTTCAACTATGTGGGAGCGTTGGGATCATCTGCATGTCAGCATTGAAAATGATGGATGTAAGTCAATAATTTAAATATTCACAGCTATTTAGGTGACTGGAATATACACATTATATCAACAGCTTTTAATAGTCCACAGCTGCACATAGTGGACATAAACCTCTCCTTAGAAAGGTGGTCTTGGCTTCCTATACCACGCTGGCGCAGACGGGTTGGTATAGGGTTTGTGTCACCTTTTCCTACTCTGTGCAGTGCTGTTGTCCTGCATAGTTTGCTCCCTTACGACACGGGAGGACATGTCGACGTCGACGGGACGTCAGGACGGGATATACATGAAATATATAAAATATGAATGAGTAGACAAATCCTCTATCGAATATAAGTGTCTATCGACCTTATCGCAGGTTTCCTCTTTATTCAGCCATTCTTCTTTTAAACTCTTCTTCCTTTTATGTTACGAACATTAATAACACACTACGTAATATTTAAGCTTTAATCAGCTAACGAGCAGACGGATCACCTTGTGGAAAGTGACTACTGCCGCCCATGAACGCCTGCAATTTTTGATCGAAGTCCTAGGGCCACTATCATCTTTATTCTTACATCAACAATTAGAAAAACAAACACGTACATCCTAATTTCATATCAAAGTGTTCGAAGCCCAATTTACAAATGTAAAATGGCACGCTTTCGTATCTATCCCGTTTAACTACCAAACACGCATTGAAGTCATCAAGGATGGCAACTTAGTCATCAACACCACAACAAATCTGTCGGACATAAATAAATCACACAAGAAATATTTTCATGTTACCAGTACGAGCCATATGAAGACAAGACCATATGGCTCGTGCTGAGTCGTACAGTCAAAAAGTTATCAGATCTCATGTTGAGTACATATTTCAGAAATTCTACACCTTTTTCAAAACAAGTGGCTTGGCCGTTTCATTTCACTATTGACATCATCCAAACCAAAACTATGAGGTTTCGAGAAAAAGTAAATAGTGCCCTTGCGCTTCGATGTATTCGTCTTTGCGGGACACTGCCGTGCCCCCAGATCCATTCTCGTCTTTATCGCTAAAAGGGTAGCGGTAGACAGCAGCGGTGTATAAACTATTTTTAAAAAGTAACACCGACTCGAACGCGTATACGTAATGAATTCATATTAAATAAACTTTCTTCACTCCTTAATTTTATACAATTGTTTTACAGCTCGTATTTGTTTTAATTTTAATGATGCCTAATACTCTCCCCATAAAAAAAAACGATCTTTTAAATCGGTTCATTCATGGCGAACTTTCAAGAGATGAATCAGATCGAATTAAAAAAAATACTCCTTTTTTAAGTCGGTTAAAAACAAAGTTTGATCAGAAGTGTAATTTGTACTTTAAAAAATTGATATTTTTTCAGGAATATACATATATGTTCGTACACTAGTGTTTTAAATTATATAATACATTGTTTTAATAACAGTTGGATTGGCGCAGCGTGCAGTACTCCTCGATAGTAATGTTTTTGACAATAATGATCGTTCACCTATTCGTTTGCTGCTGGTGTGGACACGAGCTCACAGTTAAAGTACGTATACACGTGTATTGCTCAAATACATAATCATTTTTTGCCGCACGCGCTATTACTAAAAGATAATCTAAGATACTAGCGAATTGTGAGTGTGATGTATACCTACAGTGTAAAAGGGATTTTAAGAACACTTAGGATTACTAAGCGTCTTCCATATTTTAATAAGTAAAACACGGAATTAAGCGGAGAATATTGCGAAATTAAAACGGGTTACTAATAGGTTTGAGTTATTTATTATTGTGTGGGAATCTCCACTGATCTGAGGCCCAAGTGCGAGTTTCACATTTACTGTGATAAAAAATCAAGCATCACAGGCTTTTATTCACAGGCAACGCATAATCAATTTTAATAAACCTAAATTTTCTCCATTTTTTAATTATTCTTAGGGGTAAAAAATTAGGAAAGTTTGTTGTTCCAAACATAAAAAAGATAAAGTTCTAAGGCAATTTACGTAAGAAAAATTACAGCCGAATTGAGATCCTCGGTTTTTTGAAGCCTTGAAGATCGAATTTATTTGATAATCCTAAATTTAATTTATGTTTTTCAGAGTGAGGAACTCCCCACAACAATGTATAAGTGCATATGGTATGAGCAAGATGTAAAATTCAAGCGGGCCTTATGTTTAGCTATGATTTGCATGAGCCGTCCTCTGATGTTGCGCGCCGGCCACTACGTACAATTGTCAAGACCGACATTTGTTTCTGTGAGATTTTATTTAGCTAACATTTTAGATAGAAATGAAAGAGAATATCCTGATATCTACCTGCAAGTGAATATCTAAGAGGTTATGCCAGAGTCGTCTACTGAGCCTTTTTCCAAAACCAGGTTGGACTTAGATTTTTCTATTCTGTAGAAAGACTGTGGTCGGACTTTTTAGGACTCCAACTAGCCGGTACGATTGCCACAGATGTTAGTAAGGCAACCGAGATCGACAGCTCCGAGGCACGGAAAGGTCTCCTTTGTTAAAAATGGTCACCCATCCATAGACTGACCTGGCTGCGATAACTTAACTTTGAAATGTGTTAATCTACTCGATCACCGCTTAGCCACGAGCCCCTGTAAAATATAAAGAGTACTTTATCTTTTTGTATAATTAAACTATTTTTCAGATACTGAGGATGTCTTATTCTTACTTCGCCGTACTGAATCAGACAAAAGCGAGGAATTAGTGAATGAGTACGAAAATTTACAGATTCATCAAATACTAAAGAAAACTCTGCACTTTCTGAAACACAAAGAGAAAAAAAGATAATCCTGCTATAGTTCCGAGATAGAAAATTCTGCACCCAACGAATTAACTAACAAGCAAGCAAATAAAATAAATACTAGTAAAAATAAAACATGGATCTCTTAGTCAAGTTTCATTTTTTTCAATACATCACTATACATTTTTATATATCATCGAATAAAAGAACAAAAATGCTAAGACTATTTTACAAGTGCAGTAAAAACAACTACAGTGAGTAGCTGAATGAAATTATTTTATACCTATAAAAATTAATTATTTATATTTATACCTATAAAATATATAAAATGGGAAAAATCAGAGCTCTATGAAAAATTTCTTCACTAAACAAAATGTTATTTCAACTAAAAAACCCGAGGAAGGGGAAACTCCTTACTCTTCAAATGATTCTGATGAATAGCAATTAAGAAAACTTCAGAAAAATGAAAACACTGCACCCTCTAAAACAAAAAACAAACGTTATATTTCAAAGACAAACACAAAACCTACAAATCCTCCCCCAGAACGGCTCGTCACCGCGGGGGTTGTAGACGACCACCCTCCAAACCTAAAAAAATATTATATATCTACATTCAATCTGAGATCATTAGCAAATGAAGCGTCATAAGCACTACTTCCACTACTAGTTATTAGAACCATTTTATAATGTATAATTTAATAATTAAATTTCTTGACTTATTTTATTTTAAGGTAGAAAATTGTTAAGTTCTGACAGAAGTTAATGTCGGAATTGTTTTACAATTTACAAAATATGTAAATTTGTAATTACAATTATGCGTTCAATAAAACAGTTTTCCTTACAAATATGTAAATTGAAACTTTTAAAGAGAAAATGTTTATTCCACAGAAATTTTGACAGTTTTCCATCATTTTAAAGTAAATTTGTAAGTTGTATTGTTTATTAAACAGAAACTTGTAGATTTGTGACTTGTAAAATATATTTACAATTTGTAACGTTTATTAAACAAGGCCCAAGGTTTATTATTTTTTGATGTGTCTAAAGAAAAGTAAAATGGTTTGGAGGAGGCTTTCACCGCAAAAGGCGGCCCTTACACCTAACAATACTAACCTTATTTAAAAACAAAACTAACATTACTAACAAATAAATAAATAAGCATACATAATATTAGATAAGAAATACATACAGACTCCTAACACAAGCAATTTAGCTTAGCTGGAGGGGTTAACGGGAACACTAGTAAATTCGGTTGCTGTAAGCCTTTTAAAAAAAATACACGTACACAATATACTTCTTTATTCTCGTTTGCTAACATTTCACCAACACTTTGTTCGAATAATGTTTTCCAGGCAAGGGGGCGTCAAGGACTATGAGAAATAAACCACAGTAAACACCTGTAACAATTAAGTAAATGAACACTTCTGGCAAACACTGATTCTTGAAAAAGTTAAACAATGGCCCGTGCACATAAGTGCAATATTATTATAATGATTCTAGCGATGTAACGAGGACTTAAAATTTTGTGGCTTAAAAAATATTGCAGGGACAGGGTTAATCTTGTAATGCGTAATGTATGCAATCCTGAGGTATCACATTCGAGGCCTGTGTACATAAACAACTCTCACAGTTTGTATACAGAAACCAACTTTTAAACCCCTTACAATCCGGCTTCAGGCCCGGTCACAGCACAGTTACCGCTCTCCTTAAAGTGATTGGCGATATTACGATGGGCATGGAAGACACCAAGTCACAGTATTAATTGTCACTGACAGTAAGTCACAGTTAATACTGTGACTTGGTGTCCTAGTTGACTTCTCTAATGCCTTTAATACCGTAAATCACGAAGTCCTGTTATATATCCTTACATATCCTATGGTTCCTTCTGGGATACTGGAATGGTTCTCCACCTGTCATCGGCTGCGACAGCAGCTTGTTCGTGTTAATGACTTATCATCAAGTTGGTGCGACCTCCACATGGCGGAATTTTATCTCCTCTCTTATTCTCAATATTTATTAACCTCATAACTCAACATCTTCAGTGTGCGTATCACCTGTATGCTGATGATCTGTAGCTATACTCACAGGCAAGGACAGAGGACATAACGCAGGCTATTTACGAGGTCAATTAGGAGCTTGAGGTCATAAAACCCTGGTCAATGAGATTTGGACTGTCGGTTAATCCAACTAAGTGTAAGGCAATCGCAGTAGGCAGCAAACGTATTATGAGCAGATTGGATCTGCCTCTATCACACCGATCGTCTTCAATGGTTTAATTATTCCATGAAGCCCAGTACTTATTTAAAAATAAATAAATAAAGTTTTACATGCCTAGTAATAAAATATTACTAAAATAACATATCTTTATGGTAGTTCAAAAAATATTTTCTACAGAACAGTAAAATATGCAACAGTGCTTTTATAAAAATAAAGGCACTGTTTCTATGTATACAGGATTTATTTGGCAAGTCTCTGGAAGCACTGATGTTATGTTTTTTTAGTACCAAGTAAAGATCCGCTATCCAGGTTAGGTGATCATACCTTTTTTTTTCTTCTTTTTTTTACGTGTCGGCCTCCCGCCGAATTGCAATACTCACTAAACCATGTGGCAAATCTAACAACTTAAAGTATGTTTGATGAATGTTAACTCCGCACATATTTTTTTAAAGGATTTTATTAGTTTTATGATTAAATTTAAACGTATTTACCCCAATTTATATCCATAGAAATAAAAATAAATAATGAGCATAAAAAAATAAATTAAAATTTAAAAAACTCTAAAGATAGGTAAGTGGACATTCTCTACAACCGCACACACAACTTACTCGATACAACTTTAGCAATTAAAACTTTGACTGCAAGTTTAACAATAAACTTAGAAATTCAAAAACACTTGCCTTTAATTATACATAATCGCATACGCCGCGTTGAATTCAAATAACAATATTGACACACAGAAATAGTCGACAAAGGAAGTAACAGACACACGAAACTTATAAATATAATATGGCAACCAAAAACAGTACATTATACTTGAGTCGTCCAAACAAAATTTTGGGTTTCTTCGGAATTTGGCCGCAGCCCAATAATTACGTAATTATTCGAAAATTATGGATGATATTTGTTTTGTTTACGCAATACTCCTTTCTTCTATTCGAAATCATTTACATCATGAATGTATGGGGAGACATCGATGCGGTGTCTGAAGCGTCCTATTTACTTTTTACTCAAGCATCTTTGTGTTACAAATCTACGGCTTTTGTGATTCGTAAAGGAAATCTACTAAAACTACTCGAATACATGGACAGTAGTATCTTTAAACCGAAGTCCAAAACTCATCAGGAGTAAGTAAAATTTGTAATTCTTAGAATGAGAACAAAAAGTCGTTTTAAAACGACAACATATCATTAAAGCTCACTGTGGTCACTTCCATCAGGTGGTCACCTGCTCCTATCTGCTCATCTGCCCTTTTTTCTTAAAAAAAATATTTTAAGAGAAAGCTATTGAAGTCAGTTCTTCTTCAAATATTTATCGATGATATAAAACGGGCCATGAGAAAACAAACTTTTACCTAATTTAATTCGGCGCCCTTAACTTTACTGTTGCGGATTACTACAGGTGTTTCAGTATTTTTAATGCTTCTACATTTAAAATTGGGGGGCCTAATAGTGTAGTAGTGATTTTACCTGCTTAGACATGCAACGTGTTTTCGACACGGATAAATAGGCCTCCCTCCGGTGTGTCCATACAGATTCTGCGATACAGCGAGAAAACGAACGAGGAATAGCAAACAGCACAAACACATATCAGTGGTAATAGTTATTGTGTTGTTGAGGATTAAAGTTGTGCCTATTTCATGTATAAATCGGTGTGTTAATAAGATGGTGTGAGTGTGTGTGTATAGTGTGGTATAACGAATTTAAAACTTTGATTTCGTAAATTAGAATTTCAGCTCATCATTCGACGAAAATACAGCGTTTGTGTCTTTTCTTTCTGACAAGCGCCACAACAACATGTACTCTGTGGGCTTGCATACCGCTTTTCGACGCTGCCAACAGACGGTCTTTCCCTTTTCGAATTTGGTACGTATATTAGTTCTCATTTCAGTTCAGACTAAAATTCAACTACAGTTCAATTGTTACATCAAAGTAACAATACCTCCACATACTATGTTCCTTATAATACTTCATAATATAATAAAAGTAACCTGTACATTTTCTAGTCGATAGGAACGTTAAAATATCCTGATAAACGGCTTGATCAATATAATGCCATTGTTTTTGGCTCAGACTGTAGATTTTAACCACCACAGGGGAAGGACTAGTAACGGGCAGGGTTCTGCTCTAATTAAAGCCTTTCAACAAGGAAACCGCCTAGAAAATTAGGTCAGGAGTAGCAAAGCATGATGGATGATCTCCTCCCCTCGCCTCTCAAAAGGATTCACGGCAAAGTAATTTTGTCTAGTGGCTTTGGGTACATGTAACCACTAACTAATTATCGATTCGGCAAGTTGCTGGTTTGCTTGTATAATATTGGATTGCATAATATGAAAATAAAAAAACTCTTTCTGGCCGAGGGT